TACTTCATTACTCCACTAGCTTTCTTATATAAAACACATATACATGTACAAAGCTATTCTTCCTGCAGTTTTTAAAAGAAACATATTAAACAGATATATAATAGATCTGATCAAATCACACAATGTGCATGTTACTATAAACAAGTATCTCCCGCCGGAATTTGCTTAGATGCAGATTTCACATGTGACGGCAAACTGTTCCAGATACATGGTTATTCGTTTATTTCGATATCCTTTAGTCTAAGAAGACTAGTCTTCCAGGGTTCAAAACATATAAACATATGAACATACTGACAACAAAATAAAAGAGAATGAATTCGAACATACATAATCATCATGATGTTGATCTATACATTACATATGCACCGGGATATACGCGGTCTCTTTGATAGCTAGCAACAGGCAAACTGCGCAGTTTTCTTAATTTTTTTTCCGGCAGATACAATCAACGGCTTTCCTTTTATGATGCACAGATGAAACTGTTGATGCAAGAACGTAGATTTGCCCCGGGCACGGTTCTAGCTAGATCTGTATGCGCGCGTGGGCTAATCTAGAGACCAGAGAAACTGGCTTTGGGTCTACAGCAGCAAAACCGTACAGTGGCCAACTGCGAACGTGGTACTTATGAATTTATCAATTGGTTTGTCTGCTCAGCATGCACAGCCAGGGCAGTCCAACTACATTTATAGCTTGTGGCTATTACAAAGGGCTATCCCTGCTGACGAAGACCATTATTTGAAGCTTCTTGCAAAGAGAAGACGTTACAACGGAATTGGACATGGACAACCTTTTTTTTGTTTTATATACTTCATAGTTCACCACAAAATTTTCAAAAACAAGGCTCATGAGAGACACTCAAAATGTTTTGGGTCACTGTACAGCCAGTGAGGACAGATGTTTGTTGACCTTAGACTAGAAAAGTTTAAGGTTATACTCATAAGGGAAATAATCACGAGGTAGCTTATTCAAAATTGATGTTGTTCTGGGGAAGAAGCTTTCAGCGTGGAACTTCCTCCTAAGAGGTGGTGAATGGAGAAAGAAAGGGTGATTTGCTTCAGTGGAAGTGGCAAAACGTGTCCTTGCTGAGAATGTTCGAAGTGGGGGCACTAGCGAATGAAGTTCCACGGAGCATTTGCCGTGGAATTAGCGATAAAATAACGCAAGGCTTGCAACATTACGCCTATGTGAGAGTGGTTGTAGGGTGGCGAACATGTCACTCCCATTCCCAACAAGATTTTGTAAGCACTGAACGATGAATGTGACCACATCGTAATGGTTTGCTTCATGACAGGTCTATATTCAACACTTTGTTCCTCATCATTTCTCTGATTTTCTTGTATACTATAGAAAGCGGCTATGAAAATGCAGGAAGCTTGGTGAGGGACGTACTGTTACAGAAACTGCAACACGGGATGGCCGAAGTCCTGGTCAGAAGACACGCAGGGACGACTGCCATTAACCGGGACCCTCACACGGGAAGTCAGTGGGTGCCGTGGTGGATTCTACCAACAGGTTTGTCTGCTTGTCTGCTTGTTTTTTTGTTTTTCTTTTTGTTATATTTGCCCATCTCAATGTCACAGCACTGCTTCGCTGTGTGTCCGTGGAAAACACTATACGTGTACATTGCATGTAACACGTACACGTATATGCCAGGGTAGAGACTCCAATCTGGTATACTAGAATCGGCAATTCTACCGGTAGAAATCCCGATTAGAGTCTGTAAAATTTAAGACATTCGCTTTTAAGAGTCATAATTTGTCAACTTTGGTTCATGTCACTTATTAAGATCAATGACAATGGATTTACTTATAAAAGGATTTGTAGCACTGATTAACAGCATCCTACCATGTCAGCAAAGACTCCGATCGGGATCTCTGCCGGTAGAATCACCGATGTTACCATATCTACGTTAGCTTGAGGAATCCACTCTACTTAACATGTATGCGAAGAATCACTATACATTTACAAGTAAAGAACATATACAAAACCTCATAGTAAAATGAACTTTATTCCAACACAAAGATTACAAAGCGATCAAAATTTCAACGACCACTGCCGCCTTCATCAGGTGATGAGATTACGTTTTAAAGTGATTGGTTTTTAATTATCCTGATGAAGGCGACAGTGGTCGTTGAAAATTTGATCTCTGTGTAAAGTTCAACATTTTACTAAGATAACTACCAACACAGATGAACTTGGACAAAAATTCATATTCAGGTCGACTCAGCACCCGGCCGCCCGGACTCCAACATGAAGGGGCCGCAACAACCGAAGATGCCGTTCATGTGTTATGCTGGTTTGCCATTAACAAATCCTAAATTTCAAGTTAATCCACTGTGGACATGAATCAAAGTTGAAAAGGTCTGTCTTTTTTTAAGCAAACATTTTAAAATCCCGATCGAAGTTTCTGTTGACAGAGACTCTGATCGGGATCTCTACCTCAGAAGAATCATACCAAATCGGAGTCTCTACCGTGACAGATACGTACATAACATATAGCAACTACAATTTACAAGTACAAAAACACGTGTATACAAAACTTCATATTCAGGTCGACACAGCATCCGGCCGCCCGGACTCCAACGTGAAGGAGCCGCAACAACCGAAGATCCCTCGGATGTCTGGGCAGCGGCAGGAGGACAGACCAGTGCCACGGGTCTGCCCCGGGCTGTAGATGACGACGTGGACAACAGGGACGCCACCCACAACCCCAACACTTGGACGGAGTTCGGCAAGAAGCGTTCCAGGGCGGGGCGGCAGGCCGTCCGGGTCAGGACGTAAAGCTGTAATCTCCAAGCAGATTCTGTGGGGCAATGGGAGTCTGTACTGGCCGCCTGTTAGTCTCCACCAGACTTCTTCTGCGGCGTGAATAAATCGCAGAAATCGGCCTAAAAAGGGTATTAATTGGCCAGAGAAAGTAGCCGGCCAGAGAAGCTCCATTTCCCCGCCGAGCTTCTCTGGCCGGCTACCTTCTCTGGCCTCCTGTAACCAATAATGCGGCAAGCAGTTAGCCTCTACCAGGCTTCGGGAGGTGGCTGGAAAGAGTACAAATTGGCCAAATAGAGAGATAACATGCCGCGGGAGTTGGTCCGCTAGAGAGTACATTTTGCGGCACCCGGCATGTTATTTCTCTATATTTGGTCAATTTCTACTCTTTCCAGCCACGTCCCGAAGCCTGGTAGAGGCTGGCCAGCGGTTACAGGAGGCCAATGGATCATCATCATCGTCCGGCTGCGGCCAATGGATACAGGCGGCCAACGTAGACATCCCTTGGCCCACAGAATCTGCTTGGAGATTAGTAAAGGTGGGCGCCTTCCGTCACCGCTGTTCTACCGATTGCAAAGGGTTTAAACAGGATCAAGAGTTTGCAATTTTAACAACTGTGACCGGAGGCACACAATAATCTCCAAGCAGATCCTTGGGTGGGTAGCAAAATCGTAACGAACCGGCAAGGCAGTATCCAGTAACCTCCATGCAGATCCTACGGTGGCAAGGCTGTACCCATTGGTCAAAGAGATACCATTAGCGACCATAATTGTTTAAATGGTCACTCCTTTGGCCAATGGTTACAGCCTTGCCACTGTAGGATCTGCTTGAAGATCAGTATCCAAATGGCCAGGCAGTGTCCAGCTAGCTGCCACCAAGGATTTTGCCACCGAAGGATCTGCTTGGAGATTCGATGACAAGTCACACCAGCAGGGCAACGATGTCAATGAGTTTTGGACCTTAGGTTCCAGAAAAAATGGCACCACAAGGGTGCCGAAAAAAAAATTAACAGTCAGACTGTCAAATCCTAGTCGTTTTAGGTAGATTGACAAAAATTATGGGTCGTATCATGGAGCTCTGGTATAGCTCCATGGTCACATCATGGGACCAAGCATGACCAAGAAGTATTATAGGGTCATAAGTTTGTAGTCAAAAGTACTGATTGCTGGAGCTAAAAGCGTTGAACGTACAGCAAATGTATGACTGCAACAAACGGGCACAACGGTCTGTTACCTCAGACCTGTATCCAGCCCATGGCACATTGGGCCATAATTGTGTACTCACAGGTACAAGAATAAATCAATGAGATATGCCTCCCGTAGTCTTCAGTGTGCTTTGATTAGGAAGTGCATGTGTGAAACAAAACTTAAGTAAAAGTGCTGCAAGACTAATAGAAAAACAGCTGTAAATTCGTCTGAGTACCAAGTCACTTCATCAGAATGGTACCCTACCCCCGATGTGGATGACTGTAACAAGTCTCCAGGCTGCTCTCTGAAGACCCAATCCCTAGCTACTGTGCTTCAAAGTACAACATTTGTGGTTGGAAGATCACTCCATAAGGCCATGCCAATTCAAATTCTTGTTAAATATGGAGCGACAGGGCGAAAAATAAAAACAGGTCTAGGCATCCCATTATAGCCCCACATGCTACAATAGGAGCGTGAAGTCAACACAAAAATATTAGCATTTTTGAGTTAATTTAGAACCAGAATTTCTTTTCAAATCCGAAAAAAAGGGGCAAATCCGAGAACCAACAAATTAAATTGGTGTGGCCTAAGGCATGCCACCCAGCATAGACTGTGTTTGAAATTTGCTTTTCTTTCTAACATAATTCTTTTCCATTCTGAAACTTACACAGGATAAACCTACAGGATAGAGGCAAATGGCAGGCTGCCATCAAGCTTCTGCATCAGTGTGTAAGCAAGAGACATTAAGGATAGTGAGTGAGTGAGTGAGTGAGAGATTGAGGGTGTTTGAGTGAGAGTGAGTGACTGAGTGATTGAGTGTGTGTGTGTGAGTGATTGAGTGTGTGTGAGTGTGTGTGAGCGAGTGAGTGAGTGTGAGTGAGTGGCTGAGTGAGTAAGTGAGTGAGTGAGTGTGTAAGTGAGTAGTGAGTGATTGAGTGTGTGTGTGTGTGTGATTGAGTGAGTGAGTGAGTGAGAGTTATTATACAACCTATACTTAAACTATACAACCAATTCACAGACCACATTCCAATAAATCACAATCATGAGTACAGAAAGAAATTTTATTGCATAGAAACTAGCACGTCTCATACCGGTATCCAAGTGAGGCCCTACCTTCAGCACAAAAGGGGGTGGCTACAGCATAAATACAGAGTGAATATACATCTAATATTTTCAAAGAGTTGAGCAACCAGTTTGGCATGAAATAAAGGTACTCTAGCAATAAACTCACATTGGAATGTAGATATCTGTGTGTCTTAACCTCTTAAGCCTTGAAGATTATTATATAAACTATGCCTAATTCACAATCTGGCCATATGTGTATGAAAACTCTGCTGTTTTCCTAGTTTGACCCAAGAATGCAGCAGTCGTAATCCTACATTAATGGCACATTATTATAAAAAGATATGAAGGATAGAAGATATACAAAATTCGACCAAAAAAAAACTACAATTTCTCCATTGTACTCACTGATTTGGTCTATCATTTAAAATGCTTGTTTCTAATTACTGATATAATAATTATAGTTTGGTATAATTTGGAATACAAGGATCTTTCTTCAATCTTAAAAAGCTGAACCAGTCATCACAAGTCTACTGTGTTTGTCTTCACCACATCACAGGTGCATTACATCATATCAATGCCTAGAGGGAATTCAAACACTTTTACGTGACTTCGAGAATAAGCCTCTTTTTGTGCACTGTCCAAAAATTCTGAAATCTTTCCCAGCATTTGCTGGATTACATGATCCTTTTTTCAATGGTCAACAGACCAGTAACCAAGCCCAAGACATACACTAGGCAAAGTCTGCCCTAACTTTCATTTTGCCCTCCGCTTGGGTACTTCCCCTGGCCAATTATTCTCTCTATTTCACCATTTCTGAACCCCCGTTGTTATAAGTGTAACCCCTTAGGAAGGTCTGGTGGAGGCCGCTAAGTGTACTTTGTCTTTGAGTGTGATATGAGCACACCTAGCACAACTGCAAGATATAGGTGTTTTCTTTTACATGACCAAACTTGTCCTACCTTGCTTACATTTGGCCTTTAGATGTCTATCAGACAATTCCTCAGAACTTCTGACTGGAGTTCTGATGAAAACATAAGCAAGGTAAGTTTGGTTGGGTAACACTAAAAGAAAATCCCTATAGCTTATCCTCTACCAACCAGGTGAAACTATTTTCGGTAGCACAACTACAGTATACAGTGGTCAATCTGGTTCAGCTTTAAAAGCAAAGCCACTCCTTCCATCTCAATGATCTCTAGGCCAAAGAAAAAAAAATGTTGTGTTTCCTGTTTCAATCCTGAAAAAATTAGGACAGGTAAGTAGGGATGACCTTTTTTTCTTCTTTGTTTATTACACTTTGGCGATCTCTAGTGATCCAACTTGGAGAATACAGTTGAACAAAGTATAACTTGCATGAGGACACTTCTATTTTCAATGTTAATGTTGGAAAACCGATTATAAAACATATCATCACTCAGGTGTCATCATAAAGCTAGAAAATGTCGATCAGCTCCCAAAAATTCATGTCTCTTGCAGGGGTCCGCACAAGAGAAGACTAGGATCGGCAGTTTTTTCTAAGGTTGGTCAGGAAACAGGAAACACAACAATTTTTTTCCTATGCTTTACTGCTCGTCCTTGTCCTTGGCGCCATGTTTCAGGATGCGGGTGAACTCGATGTAGTTGAACTGCTGCTTCTTGATGGGCGCATCCCGGAACATGTCGTCAACCTCCTCGTCCGTGAACCTGTCTCCCATCGTCGTCAGCAGCTCGCGCAACCGCTCCTCGTCAATCGTTCCTATGGCAACAGATGGATCAATCAATCAGTAAATCAATCAATCTTCCGCAGGCTTCATGTCAGAAGCATAGCGGTTGTTAGACAGTTGTTTCCAGAGACAGATGGATAAGCATTAACTTCTTTGTAGTGTAAGTTAGCGAACTCTAGAATTTTATCTGTATTCAAAAGCATCATGCAGCACGACGGCAGAACACACTGCACCTGCGCAAAACCCGTAATGTATTGTACATAGCACTTTGGTAGAACATCTCCTATAAGGTCGTATTTGTGAATATAAGGGAAACATCTCGTCTGCAGTTTCCAAATGTTGTGTTGGAAAAGATATCCTCTGCAACAGGAAAAATTCTAATGCAACGTTGACCAAAAATCCACCGAAACTGTGAAAATACAGGGTTCTGCGCAGGCACAGTACGTTCTGCCAACGTGCTGCATCATGCTAGCTTGGATGCCAGACTGTTTAAAAAAACGTTTCCACTTCTGGATGACTAGCAGTGTAATGGCTTAGTGGTATGGACTAAAAACACAATGACTAAAACAAGGTGAGTAAAAAGAAATCGTGAATTAAGTACAAAACTCTAGATCTTTTCAGAACTGATTAACATGTACATTGTACATGAGTACTGTTCACTGCTTTCTGTCTGCAAAATTTACCTTGCATGGTTAACTTCTCCCTTCCAAATCACATCTAGTATGATACACAATGTGCTAGAATGCATGGGCACTGAGGTTGATAACTACCATACAGTCTACAGTAAGCTCTAACAGGATTCCATGTTTCCAAAACATTCCATACATGGCAAGATGGTGGCCCTTTCCTTTCAAACAAAATAGGGCAAGCCAACTTTATAACAAAGTAAATGGCACTATATGTATGTTGTAATGAACCATAATATGAAGCAATATCTACTGTAACTATAAGTTGAACTGCTGTGAATGGTCAGTCATAAGAAAAACCAAGTTATTAATTATAATGAAGAAACATAGTTCCTCATGCATAAAAAACCTGTATAGCAACCAAATGAACAGCAACAAAACTGGTGACAAAACCTGTGACTGTGCAAGGTAGGCAAAAAACAACATGCAAGGTTTGTTAAATGCCATACAGAAGTGAGAACTATGATAATAAAACAGTAGTTGTGCATGAACAAAACCCAAACATGTCATATAAATATGCTGGCAAACCAAAGAAAACAAAAATCAGTCAGAACAAAGGTGTAATATCAGTATTCAAACACAGTGAACATTCCGTCCATGCTGTAACATTCCTGTGCAGTTTCAAGTTGTATAAGTGACATCCTCCACACCGTGCTTTGTCAAGGCATCTGGTGCTTACAATCAAGCCATTCAAAGCTGACATGGATTTTCAAGAAATACCCAAGCATTTTTCTAAATCTACTGAAAAACTGAAATTTTTAGATGAAGGAAAGGAGGTAAATTTAGAAATTACCAGTATGTGGAAGAAAATTTGTGTGAACAGGAATTTTTATATATGATTCCCAAGATGAATAAAATCAAAGTTGACATGTACATTGTAAATGTATTTTCAAGAAATAAGCATACTGTAAATTTACAGACAACGGGAAAGAAGGTGAATTTTGAAATTTTGTACGCCACAATGTGTGTACATAGAATTTTTATGGCTAATTTAAACTCCTGAAGGAACCATGTCAACTTGCCACAGCCTGTGTCTGTGAGCAGGCATGCCCTGGCATTCATGTCATCACAACTAGGACCATGCCATTGCAAGTGACAGAACCTACAGAAACCCCTCTCCCCGCCTCTCTACGCCTGGTCGGCCCTCTCCTCGCGGTCCTTCTGGCCGTGCTTCAGCACGCGCACGAACTCAGGGTAGTAGAACTGCCCCTCCTTGATGGGAGCGTCACGGAAAAGGTCGTCGACCTGCTCCTCCGAGAACCGCTCGCCCATGGTCATCAGGAGTTCACGAATCTGTTCCTCGCTTACGGCACCTGTACAGTTGGTGGGGTCATCATGGGGTCGCACACAGTACACAGGAGAGAGGGCAGAGGTTAGGTCAGAGGTCAAAAGTCAGATGGACATAAGAGTAAAGTTTAAAGTTCAAAGAGGACAATGAAAATACAGGAGCTCCTGTATCTGTTCCTTGCTAACCGCACCTATATGTGGTTGGTGGGGTCATCACAGGGTGGCACAGTGTACACAGGAGAGAGGGCAGAGGTCAGGTCAGAGGTCAAAGTTCAGATGGACACAAGGGTAAAGTTCAAAGAGGAAAATGAAAATACAGGAGCTCCCATATCTTCTCTTCGAGTATTAAAGTTAAAAGAGTTAAGTTCAAAGTTCAAACAGTTAAGTTCAAAGAGTAAAGTTGAAGGTTCAAAATGAAATCAAGATTTTTTAAATTATTTTTAAAGAAATATTTAAATGATGTTAGTCCTGGACAGTTTTGGTGAGAAGTTATAAGTCAAAGTTTGGAAAAGCGAAGGGTTTAAGTGCAGTAGTAACGAAATACATGTAGATGCAAGGTTCATACAATCATCTCCAATATTTCAGTCATCTCTATGTTGTTAGACCTCTAAATAAACTACAGTAACTAGACTTCTGTCTGAATGTACATATCCACTTCAACTTGAGTTTAAGTCTTCCTTGTGACAACAGTAATTAAAATTCTTACTGCCATACCCCTGAAACAATTGTGAGGGGGCTTCTAACATGCACCATGTGGTCACCAGAAACTCAAACATGCAAACATCAAACCAAACACAAGCTACGCAAACAACTTAAGAGGTGTCAGAGCAAATTGTGGGTGGGCACCAGGAAAGGAACTACATGTATGCTGTGCATACAGTGTAAATATTCCTCAAGAACAAAAATAAGTGAACAAATTTATATACAAATGCATAGTTACTGGCTACCATTAGATGTTAATCAATACTTAGTTTCAAACAACTTGTAAGAAAAGCGGTGCAAATTAAAAAGGGTGGTTCACAATTTCCCTTTGGTATGGTATAATACTAAGTAAGGTGCATTCACAACATGACATTCAATTTAAAATGGTGACTTGCATGCTTAGATCTAGCAATGCATTTACAAAAGTGATGCTTAATGAAACCAAACAAAACAGATATTTACAGATAATTCATATGATCAAATAAATCTAAGAATGTATGGCAAAATAGCATACAAACAATGTCAAATCATAAATAACAGCTGAATTAAATGTTGCAAAACATTTGAACATCTCGTGCATAAAAATAACATATGTTAAGGTGCAGAAACCTCAAAGTTTAGAATACAAGTATGTGTAGCAAGTAAGCCAAGGCATCTATTGTATTGTACAAACTGATAATGAAGATAAAGTTAAAACATAACCACTGCAAGACTCCACTGTAACAAATCTGCAATCCATGCACCAATGCTCACACTGGCTTAAATTATTTGAATACAAGTGTATTATCAGCCCCAAGTTGGGCCAACTAAGACTGGACATAACTTCATTGTCTTTCATTTCTCTTGCCACTCTTGTCTACTAAGGCCCACTTTAGAAACAGATTTTCGCAACAGCAGAACTGGTGACAAGTCCGAAGTTGTTGGCAGAAAATTTGACGACAGCAGGAATATGCAGCCCGGAATTCTCTTAACACGGTTTTCCCTCTGTTGCCAGTGCCACTGTTGCAAAAATCTGTGTGTAAAGTGGGCCTAACCCTACATGAGAAAGATCATCCCGTGTCAGTCTGTACCACTAAGAGGTGCAATAACACTGAAGAGAACATTATAAGAAGTCATATATGATCTTACCACTTCCGTCCTCGTCGAAGCACCCGAAGGCGTTCTTGATGACGTCCTCTGGATCAGTTCCATTCAGCTTCTCACCGAACAGGGTGAGGAACATGGTGAAGTTTATAGGTCCTGGTGCCTCGTTCATCATGTCTTCCAGGTACGCATCGGTAGGGTTCTTACCTACAGGACAACAAATCAAAGATTTCAGACGACGGTGAAGGTTAGACATCCAGGTAATAAGATACGCCAAAAAACAGTTACTCAAGCAACTGGATATGATTTTGGAAATGGTCAAACGTTTCAGGTAGTATCCACTACCTTTCATCAGTGACACTAAGAGTCTCCTAGTGTCACTGAGGAAAATGGTGGATGCTACTTGACATGTCTGACCATTTCCAAAATCATATCAAGTTGGCAAAGACTTAAGACTATTGGGAACAAGGCTACATGTCTTGTCAACAGGGTGAGGAACATGGTGAAGTTTATGGGTCCTGGAGCTTCTTTCATCATATCCTCCAGGTACGCATCTGTGGGGTTCTTACCTAAAGAATTGTATATGTAAAAAAAAAAGGAAATCTATGACAGGCAAAACACTGTCTGCAGTACATTGATGAAGAAGACTCTTGAAGGGTCGCTAACAACTGAACTTCATACACTACTCAATACAGAAGCTACAATAACGTAAAAACGTCCTTACCGAGAGAGGCAAGCATGTCGTGCAGGTCCTCCTTGTCGATGAATCCGTCCCTGTTCTGGTCTATCGAAGGCCTCCTTAAACTCCTGAAGGGTCCCTAACAACTGAACTACATACACTACTCCAGGGCTCTCCCCAAGCAATGGAGCAAGGGTGCTCCCCCTCTCCCCAAAATCCTAGAACCCCTCCCAAAATGTTCAAATTTAGGGTTTTCTCTTAGTACTTTCATGAAAATTTGCTGATTTTTCATCAACCGATTAGGGAGCACCTCTCCCCTCAGAATTTATGTGGAGAACCCTGACTACTCAATACACGACGTACAATAATGTAAAAACTTCCTTACCGAGAGATGCGAGCATGTTGTGCAAGTCCTCCTTGTCGATGAATCCATCCCTGTTCTGGTCGATCATCTTGAAGGCTTCCTTAAACTCCTGAAGGGTTCCTAACAACCCAACTACATACACTACTCCAGGGCTCTCCCCAAGCAATGGAGCAAGGGTGCTCCCCCTCTCCCCAAAATCCTAGAACCTCTCCCAAAATGTTCAAATTTAGGGTTTTCTCTTAGTACTTTCATGAAAATTTGCTGATTTTTCATCAACCGATTAGGGAGCACCTCTCCCCTCAGAATCTATGTGGAGAACCCTGACTACTCAATACAGAAGGTACATGTACAAACTTCCTTACCGAGAGAGGCAAGCATGTCGTGCAGGTCCTCCTTGTCGATGAAACCGTCTCTGTTCTGGTCGATCATGTTGAAGGCCTCTTTAAACTCCTGGATCTGCGCCTGGTCGAACATGGCGAACACGTTCGACGTCGCACGCTGGGCGCGCTTCTTCGTCTTCTGTCCCTTGGTTTTCCTGCTCGACATCTTGGTGATCTGAAGGGACAAAACCGTTAAAACAACATTGAAATTAGGTACTGTATTTTGATATTACACCTCCATAGTTTTTATTTTTGTGTGGTATGAAGTTAAAGGAGGTTTTAAACTTCTTGCAGTTTACCTTTAAAACAAGTTTGTAATAGAACATCATGTATTCACTGTATTGTGATTTTGCAGTAAGGGGTCATGGCAAAAATACATGTAGCTGCAAAGGTTTCTGCATTTACACAAATTACAGTACACAATTTGAAAAAAGGTAGAAATTCACTCTAGAAATCTGTGGCACAGTATAATACTGAAAGGCAGCATCGTGACAACATATAACATCAAAGAACAATATTTTGAAATAAACATACAAAATAACAGTGAATAGTAACATAATATTCCTATGTTTTTAACACAAGCTCTGGTTACAAAGTAACCTGTCACTGAGCCTTTATCATTTCTACCCCTGCCCCATGTATGCAAAGCTGTACAGTATCAGACATACACACAGCTACAGGAAATGACTCAAAGAACCCATATAGGATACATAAAACGCACTTGATACCTTCAATGAAATGAGTAACCATAGATTATAAATGACACCAGGAAGACCTAACTAACCCTCAGCGCTATCCTATTTCATCAATGTTACACACACAGGCACATGTCCCCAAATGTTGGGCACAGTTTCAGGTAGGGAAGTTGACAGTCGGTATCTCGGAATTCCAACAGTGAAGGATGTTTGTACTGGGGCCAAATATTTGTCTGATTCCACTGTGTCTGCCAGAAGGAAATGCCAATTTGGCCTAGGGAAAAAAAATGCTGTGTTTCCTGTTTCAGTCCTGAAAAAATTAGGGTTGGTAAGAAGTTATGATCTGTTTTCCATTATTTTTATTAGACTTTGGCAATCTCTAGTGATCCAACTTATAGTTATACAAGGCAGTGAAACTTGTATGACTATGAGGACATTTATATTTTCAATGTCATTGTACGTTTCATCACTCCCTCATTTGTCATAATATCATGGAGCTAGAAAAGGTCGATCAGCTCAAAAAATTCATGTCCCTTGCGGGGGTCCATACAAAAAAGGCTATGGTCTGCAGTTTTTTCTAGGGTCGGTCGGGGAAACAGGAAACACAACATTTTTTTCCTAGGCCACACCAATTTAATTTCTTGGTTAACAGATTTTTCTAAAAAAAAATAATGAAGCGGGCGGGCGAAAAAAATAAAAAATAAAAACAGGCCTTGGCATCCTATTATGGCCAAAAATGGTACGATAGGAGCCATGAAGTCAACACACCCGGCTGGTTGAATTTTTAACATTTAATAATACCATTACATTGAAAGATGGAATAACTGGAACAACTAGGAGGAAAAAGGACTGTTTTCAACTGTTCAGGGCAAAATATGAGCATTTTGCAGTTGATTCTGAATTTTTATTTTCATTTGCAAATCAGAAAAAAATGAAGCGGGCGAATCCGTTAACCAAGAAATTAAATTGGTGTGGCCCTAGGCCCAATAAAAATCCCTGAGGAGGTGAGAGTGAAGGTAAACCATGCCAACCTCTCTTCTCTCAGCCAGGGAGGAAGGCCAACTTCCCGCCGAATGCCATGCCCATATTTGGATGCTCAAACCCATATAAGGTGACAGGGTAGCCTTGCTATGACTCAAAGCAATACATGATGTCACACAGCGAAGGATGATGGGGAATAGATTTGAGAACAACCAAACTGAAATCCTAGAAAGGAAATACTATTTACACCATTGGTAAGACTACTAAGAATAGAAATTTTGGTCTGTTGGATTGATGCAAAAATGCACTGGCTGTAAACAACATATTAACATGCGTGTAACATTTTTATAAATCACAAATTACAAGCCATTATTAGTGATGATATTAAATCCAAGGGAAAATAATTTTTCCTGAGAAAAACATTTGAAAAATTAAATCACATCGGACATCCACAGAATGATGATTATGAAACGAAAATTTAAATTTGGTCACTTTCCCACATGCTAAGTACTTCTGATAGAATGTAGGCCTGTTAGAAATTAAACCCAAATAGATGTACATTGTACATGTAGTTTTGAGTCTATACTTGGTAATACGAGGTACTACAGATTGTTCCCTTGCAAGAAAAGTACTGTTAGTAGTTAAAACACAGCCCTAAGTCGCAGTGACATTTCCCAAGCACTGGCAACTATTTGCCCCAAACCAGCGTGTCACATGAGATCCCTTCCTTCTGTTACAAACCCACAATGGCCCTGCTATACAGGACCTAGTTTCCTAACGCCCTGCTTTGCAAACACTGGCTGTGATCCAGAACTAAACGTACATGTACTCAGGAAATTCTTGTAGGAAGACGTACATCTTGTCCCTTATTTGATAATCATGCATTCACAGCAACCTTACATGTACATGTTGAAACTGTGCATGTTTTATTTGTTGATTGTCAATCTGATTCCGTCATCTCATCTATCCCTTAGTCTAAATATTTAGCTGTTAAGGCACCATAGAAGATACGACAACCAGTTTTCTCCACTCTTCTGAGTTTCCTGTTCTTTTTAAATTCACTCAGTGCTATGCCGCTCCATTTTGATATTATTCTCCCACCTTTCTTGTTGCCTACTCCTCTTTCTACCTCTCTGGACTGTTTCTTGCGTAAAGGGTTTTACTCCGTACTCATAGCTAGTCACGATGACCGTGACACTTCAGTTTTCGTTTCTTTCTTTCTTATGGTTAGGAAGTCACTATGTAGGTACATGTATTTTTCTATGAGACATTTTTCTGCTGTAAGTGTAATGCGTTAATGTTTGATTCTGCTTCCAATCCCCCCTTTTCACATCTTGTAGTCATATTTACAAAATGGTTTGGCCTTGATAAAGTTGATGCGTATCTGCCAAAACCTTTATTATTTACTTAGCTTGCACACAGTGGCTTGCACAGTGAGCTGTTTTGGAGCTGCCACATCTGGAATGCTTTGGTAGCAGTCAACAATCAACATGAACGATCAGAATTTAGCTATAATTTCCATGGCTCAGAAGTATATCCTTAACTTACAAAATCCATCGATATCGGTGTGCAACTTTCTGTATCATGACACAACCTGACCCACTGAATAGAACAATAATTTCCTACTCAATTCAAAGATATGTGAATTGTGAGTTCAATCTGGCCCTGCAGTCCTAACGCACATGTACATCCCACATAGTCATTCCCACACAGTCTATGAGTATCACACTTAGGCTGCCCCCCACCCCATCACAGATATAGCCTTGAAAACAACCATGGCACAACTGTTGTGTGAGCTATTCCAGGCTCTACCAGGGCAGCACAATCTAGCCAAACGCTACATTTTACACAGTTTAAGCCAAATCATACAGTACATAACGAGACAAGCTAAGAAGAGAAAGAGACTTGGACAAAATATAAAAAATATGTACATGATTTTTCATGTACAGTAGCCAAAGGGTACATCACCACACAAAAGCACACACGGTCTTCTCACCATAACTGGCGATTCAAATAAACACATTTTTGTACATGAAACACACCATACCTTGGCGTCACACATTTTGGGTACTCGGGGACTGACACACCGACAAGAAGAGACGTTACAACAACTGGACAGTGCAGGGCGGGACTACGCAAAGACTGACCAGCAAAGAGAGCCCAAACGCCAACCCAACCAAACGACGTCTGTCAGAATTTCGACATGCGTCCCAACATAGCACCATCTATATATAAAATGACGACGTCATACGCTGCGCAGTGATCTGGTGGAGTCGTTAGAGTGACAGATGGTAAAGGCGGGAAGAACCGAGCGCCCAAACTTGGAGAATTTTCGGCATTTTTTTTGCGGAAGAAAATTTTAACGGCGCCATCTTGACAGAAAAACTTACCCGGTTTTTATCCGTTAGCGCTCGATTTAAACACTTTACAGAGAAAACGAAGACATATTTGAGGATTAAGCAACGAAAAAAAAGTTTTGGAAAGCTAAAAACAACTCAAAAAGATGAGAAAACTTCGTAAAAGTTAGGAAAACTCACCTGGATTTTCACACACGACAGGAAGTTCAGAAAACCGACACCCAAAATTCCTTTCGCCTGCGCACTGGCTGAATTCTTCAGTGATGACGTTAATTTGGAATAGTCTACTTTTTCTATGGGGTATTTTCATGTAAAATATTATTTTAAATATCAAGATATATAAAACAACAATTAATTTTTCTTAAAAAATATCCTAGATTTTATATATTCATTTGTTTTTTTGTAGTGAATGATGGTAAAAAATTGTTTAGTTGTACAATTATTTGAAAAGTCTTGTCGAAAGCATCCTGTCTGTACGCATAATGTTAAGGTCCATTTAAGGACTGTTTCAAAGGTTCGGTTTATACGTCAAACTTCTTAAACCAGGTGTTTTACTGTAAAAGGTGCATTGATAATTTCTCAAAAGGAAAGACAAACTAAAGAATTCGGTAATATCTGTGTCTTCAATAATTCTAAGGCGCATTTTTACTTCCAGATTTGCGTAAAAATGATATTTTCAAATTAAAATATTGATGTTTGCGCCGCTCCCCCAGGTGAAAGGTTATTCCACGGCGTGATGTGAAAGATGGCGGGCTCAGGTCTGTCTGGCGGAGGCGGTGTGGTCATGTCTGCCCAAACTGTGCCCATGGACACGTCCCAGCCCGGGCCCGTGGCACAGCTAGAGAACCAAGTCACCAGGATCCTGGAAGACGCGTTGGTAAGTCGGTATATTCAGGCTAGGAGCGCGGGTTTTGGGTGCACACATGTGTGATCACCCTTTGTTTTCCTTTTCATGATCGCGACCATCACAAATGAATTATTTCTCCCGGGCAAAGAAAACAAGAGAGAGAAATATTTTAAAAATATGGAACAAGGGCCTTGACGTCTGTAATAATTTGCATATAATATCAACGTCGTTAATTATTTCCCAAATGTTGATGCACCAAATTGAAATTTGAAATAATTGATTTTGTTTGTTTGTTCGTTTTGCTTTGTTTGTTTACCATTTCCCAATGATACCAGATCCCATCAAATTATTCCAAGTTTTGTAAGTCTATAGCAAATGCTGACCACACCCACATGGGAAATTCTCAGTCACAGTGATACTCAGCATACATCATGTATATTCAATTTAGATATTAACATGTTCAAAAATTATGTGAAGTTATACTAATAGTGTTATGTTTCTGCCTGGTCCTTATTCATGATTCACACTGATGTATCATTACATGTAACATTATGCAAGAAAAGCAAGGGCAATACTAGTAGATTGTTACACACACTTTGTATGAATTTGAATAAAAAATATCCTTGTTGGGCGAGTAAGCATTATTCTGCATGACCTCTATCTTTATTCCTCCTGACTCAGTGCTTGTTGTAATTTAGTTTGTATACCTTTTCTCTCACAGGTCACAGATGCTATTGAAGAAGTCTTTGCAGGGTAAGCCAAAAAATAGATTATTCCTGATTTTTGCTTCCGCTTCCTTATTGTTATTCTATTGCTTTTTGATGCATCTACCAGTTAAGGTCTGGTCTCCTACGTCGTGCAATTGGCCAGGGGAGTGGGTACTGGTTTCATTTTCACCTTTAAAAGCATGGAATGGGAAAGGGAACTTTATGAAGGTGCACTGGTGGCCAAACCTCCCAGGCCAGTTGTTATTATTCTCCAAGCAGAGGTTTGGATTTAGGCTTATTTTTGGAGTGTTTTTAGACGTTTTTATTCGACCGGTTTCGACTTTATTTGTCTTCCTCAAGAATGACAGAGATCAGACCACTCCTCTTTTTATACCTTTTCCTGTTACTCTCCAAGCAGAGGTTGTGGGGGAATGATCGTTAGCATTTTATATACGGCCGCTTTTTTTTTTGCCGCTATCCCCGTCGGTGGCCGTGGACCTTCTCTGGCTAATGGATATTGTCTGGCCAATTTGATAGTCTGTCTTTTTGCCACTGAGAGGGATCTGCTTGGAGTTGGAGATTATTTTCCTGTGCCCTCTTTAAGATATAGACCAATCAGCATTGAAGAACTGATAATGATGATCAAGCAACTAAAAAACTACCTGTTTCCAGGTTCATCGTCCACTCTGAAGAGGCGGAACAGAGGAAGATGCTGAGTGCACTGGACGAGTTCAAGCGGTTCTTCCAGGGCCTGTCCCAGGACAACCAGATCCTGGTTCTGCAGCACTATGTCAAGTTCCTGCACATGCAGAAGAGCTCCAGAAGGGGGCGCTTCTTGTTCGACATGCTGTACATCGCCATAGAGAACCAGATTCTGCCACCCAGGTAAGATATCACCTTTTAAGCAGGGCTGGAAATACTGGGTACATGTGCACCTTGGTGCACGCAAATTTGGAGCTGTGCACCCAATTTTTTTTTTCTGTGGGTTCACCAGTTCACCCAAATATTTGTGTAGGTTTACGTATGTATTATAAAAGATGTTAAATGTATATAACATAGTATACAGCATATTCTTAACATCCTGGTCCAAGTGTCAGAAAAATAATAAAATCATTGTTGTAGTACTCTTCTTTAGATCTAAATAGAAATGAAACATAAGTACTACATGTAGTAGTCATTGCTGACATTCTACATGTATTCTCTATGACTTACTTCTATATGGTGCACCCATTGCCAAAAAAATTTTTGTGCACCCAATTTTTTAGGTTGGGTGCACCAGTGCAGCTATTCCCAAACCAGAAGCACAATATTTTTTCCCTAAGGCTCATCATTTGAACCTGTATCACTAATTCTTGGTTTACATCTGAATGTGTTTTTGGCGACGTCTCAGGGAGGAGCCTAATGGTACAGTATTGTGTGCAGTTTGCAAGAATTCTAGGAATGGTACAGGCATTTTGTCCACAGGAATGGAATGTCCACAGGCATGTCTCTGACCCACATCTATGCCCACATTTCTGGAAACCATTGGGAAGACCTGTCTGCCCCGGACGGCCCTACTTTCTGTGACCCCGGGGCTCATTCACTATACACTCAAGGGAGGAGTGCACTGTATCTCTCTAGACTTAACAGGTACCAAGTCTTCCCCAAAGTCATGAAATGATGGCAGTGCCATGCAAACAGTAACCCTAACAGCAACCACCGTTGCCATGGCAATGTATGTTTTCATTGCCAGTCTTGTTTGTATTTTCCCTTCCAGACTGGTATGTGAGTGTCTCCTCCTGAGCGATGAGCTCCACTACCTGTCAGCCGACAAGTGGAACCAGTCCTTCTCTCTCATTCACAGGGTCATCGACAGGGTTGACTACAAGGTACTTCTAACTTCCCTACATCACTTCTAAATTAGCATGAGAAATTAATTAATCAATCTTTGTTCAAAGAACTCGCAGACAAAATTTTAAATTTTGAAGACTCACTTACACACTAACTAATCCAGGATAGTGGAAGTTTGAAGAAGGTGTTACAAACGATTTGACATATGAGCTATGAAAGATAACAGATATCAAAAGTCAATTACTGGGTTCTGTGAAACACGTTCAAATACTATTATTTGGACAAAAATGTGAATTGAGAAGGGCATACAGATTCATTCTTGTTGCTGAAAGTAAAAACTATTGTTCATGTTCAAACTTTCAAGCAAGTACTGTACGTTAAAAATAAAGTAGATGTGTACACTGTATACGTATGTTACTGATGTATTAAATGACATCACCTTCCCAGGGTTGTAGAGACCTGTTTAAGATCGCCCTGGAGAAAGTACAGATCATCCCGACCACAGTCACGGCCTCATCGCTACGGCAACTGGAGATGGTTACCAAGGTAACTCGTCCTTCTGTAGAGTAATTTGTCAAACCCCGAAAGGAAACCCCTTGCTAAAACCAATGAAAATTTGGTGACGGAAGACTAATGGTATCAGTAAGATGCACACATAGCATTTTACAGTGAAAGGCTGAAAATCAAATCAAAGTGGTGAATCATTGCAAACCTTATAAACACGAAAATCAATGTTAATATTGTAACTCGGTTTGGACCTCAATGGTATGCACAGTGACTTGTGTCACCTCTTTTCCTGTAAATCAGTGCTGATACATGCAAAAAGCAGCGTGTGACCCAGGGCTCAAGCCAGCTCAAAATTTTTTTTCCATCAGTGCAGGTTCGTGATCGAACCTGGGGGAGAGTGCTTGCAATGTAGGGGGTCCGGGGCAAATTTTGGAAATTTTCAAGCCTCTCAATTTCCCACATTTTAAGAGGCAAATCATGTGCTTGAGAGATGTTTTTGGCAGCCCTTTGGATGATTTTATATTTTTACCCGAGATTTTTGTCAATTTTGTTCATCAAGGTTGACGGATTGAATTGAGTCTTGTTCTGTCACATGCCACAAAGTTCCTACAATTAATGGAAAAATGGGTGCTGGCTGGAGCTTTGGTGCTTCTCTTTCAGGGGAACTCATTCATGACTGTGTGTTTACCTCCTTGCACAGCTGATGACGTCCCTGTTGAACAGAGACAACTGCCTCATGCCTGCTTACTTTGCTGTTAACGAGATCAGGAAGCTGTACTCAGAGGAAAAGTCTCTTCCACATTGGGTAAGACTCCATAAGAGTTTGTATTGCTATCATGAAGGTTCATCTGTGTTGGTAGTAATCATAATAAAATGTTAACTTTATTTCAACACAAGGCAAGTGAAGGATTACACAGAGATCAAATTTTCAACAACCACTGTCGCCTTCATCAGGATAATTAATGACCAATCACTTCAAAACGTGATCTCGCGAGAGTTACGGTTACAGACGTGACCTTATTCACACAAGACTTTACTGATACGTGATGTAAGCAATTGATCAATAATGCCAGGGAGTTTATTGATTCGTGATTGGTCATTAATTTTCCTGATGAAGGCGACAGTGGTCGTTGAGAATTTGATCTCTGTGTATCCGTCGTTTTGGAATAAAGTTCAACATTTTACTAAGTTTGTATTGCTGAACTTTCTGAAAAATTTCAACTGGAGAAATCCATAGTCCTTCCTGTTAGAAAGAGAATTTTGTCTCATACGGTATTGTTTTCCTCTGACTCCAAGACTGTGTTTTCCTTTTATTTCAGTCCCTAGGCAACTTGCTGTCAGAGTTTGTGGACACGTTTAGAACAACTGCACACATGGTCTCCATCTCAGGTATTTTTCTATTTTTCTGTCTTGCCTACAGAAATGTGTATCATGGTTTAAATCAATTTTTTGGTATAAATTGAGAAAATGAAACATCTGACAGAAAAATCTATCCAGTATCCCCTCCCATCCTCGAGTTAGGGTCTAACTTGTACCTAATGTACTCCCATCCTCGTATATTCCTATCTTTGCTGTTTTAATTATGGTTAAGGGTCTGCCTCTACCTCATCCAAATGTTCACCTCCACTGGACCCCCTCCCATCCTCGAGTTAAGGAGTTAACTTGTACCATATGTTCATCTCCAATGGCACCCTGTACCTCCTGTCCCTGGAGGTGTAGGGTCTACCTCTACCTAATGTTCATCCTATGGTCACCTCCACTTGGCCCCCCTCCTGCCCTCAGACATCCCCCTTGGCTGTTTGAGAAGGGTTATAGTCTACCTAAACCTAATGTAGCACATCAGCAGAGTGTACTGTGCCTTGCCAAAACCAATTTTTTCATTTGATGTTTGGTCAATGTTGCATCAGAATTTTGCCATTACAGACAATATCTTTTCCAACACAACATTTGAAAACTATAGCTGGGATGTCATCTTAAACACACCGTAAAAAAGACGTTCTACAGAAGTGCTGTGTACAATACATTACGGGTTTCGCGCAGACACAGTACGTTCTGCCGGTGTGCTTCCTTATGTTCATCCTATGTTCACCTGCATTGAGACCTTATACCTCCTGCCCGGACTCCATCCCCCCTTGGCTGTCTGGAAAGTGTTCATCCTAATGATCACCTTCACCTGGCCCCCACCTCCTGCCCCTGGACTCCATCCCCCCTTGGCTGTTTGGGAAGATGAGCTGTTCTGCTACGGCTGCGTGTCAGACTAGCGTAGCAGGACCCTCGTCTGCCCAAACGTCTGGCCTCTCATCTCCTGACCTTCATCTAACTCCTCATCTTTCCTCACAACTTCATTGCTCAGGGTTACCATCAAGAAAACCACTCAGGGCTTTATGATACTATACTATACTAGTAGTAGACAGGATTCAATGGTAAACATTATCTAATAAGTGACCACCAAATTCCTCAACTATCCTCAGAAGTTCATCGCTCAGGGTTGTGATCGATTAGAATTTAGAAGAAAGTCCTTTCAGCACCAAATGAGATTGAGAAGTTAGGGCTTTAGTCTAGATATTATTCATGTACCCATGGGAAAGACAATTACCACGACTTTCCCAAACGTCTGGCCTCTCATCTCCTACATCTAACTCCTCATCTTTCCTTCATGTCTCAGGGTTTAACTTCATAGTGCAAGAGTTCCATGTCATTCAGTGCTCTTCCATTTGATAATCTCATAACTTATGTTACCTATCTCACAACTGAAGCAATACTTTATAGTGTTCCATTGTCTTTCATACTCGAAGGTGGATTGCATTTAGGGAGGAAAGGTAGATCCCTATATTACAATTGAAGTATTATTTGTTAGAAACCAAATGCACAGGTTATTTGTAGCCTTTCATATTTCAAAGCTAGGATGACAGGTATAACTACATATGTGTAAGCCATGTTCCCCCCCCCCCCCCAGACCGTCCCCAGTTGCTGCCAGTGGTGGGTTAGGGTTAAAGTTAGATATGACTAAGCTGTGTTTTTCCCCCAGGCCGTCCACAGCTGCTACAAGTGGTGGGTTAGGATAAGGGCTAGAGTTAGGGTTAATGTTAGAAGCTAGGACTAAAATGTTTTTTTTCCTCAGGCCGTCCGCAGCTGCTGCCAGTAGTGGGCCACTCAGGAGCCACAGGAAATGCCTGGAAACTGGACCCTGCTACACTCAGGTTTCCACTTAAGGGGCTCCTGCCTTATGATAAGGTTTGTTCGTTTGTTTGTTTTGTATAGACATTGAACTGCATTTAGGTATTACACACAACTTGTTGTACAGCAACTTAAGTTCAAGATGTGTAAGACCAGACTGTAGGCTTTAATCCCTAAGAACCTAATGCCAATCTCAAGGGACTCCAGCCGTATGATAAGGTTTGTTTGTTTGTTTGTTTCTTTTGTACAACCAACGAATACTAACTGCCTTCAGGCATATAACACACCAGGTTTGTACAGTAAGTACAAGCTGCATAAGACTGGGCTGTAGGCTTTGATCCCTAAGACCCTAATGCCAATCTTAGATTCACACTCAAGGGACTTCTGCCATATGATGTAACATCTGTGTCCATAATATCACCAGGGTCCATAATATCGCCACCTTGAGAAATAGTGTGCTTAAAGATATTTTTACTGCAACATACCCTAGGTATGTACATTTGATGTGTGAAGGAGTGCATACCAAAAGTATGTTGCAGTAAAAGTATCTTTAAGCACACTGTTTCTCAAGGTGGCGATATTATGGACCCAGGCGATATTATGGACACAGACGTTAACCAGCAAACTGCCTTTAGGCATACACATGTGTATAACACACCAGTTTTTTTTTACAGTATTAGTGCAAGCTGCATAAGACCAGGGTTTTATCCCTAAGACTCTAAACCTGCCACCCTCAGATTCCCAGGCAAGGAACTGTTGCCATATGGTAAGGTTGGCCAGACTGTAACCAACCTTGGGTACCAATGGACCTATAACATTATTACGTCACAGTTTGTTTACCGCAATGAATGCCGGTCAATCAACATTTATATTGTACAGGGGTGCGTAGCGCGGTGTGTGTTTGTGTAGCGTTAGCCTAATATAAAGGCTTTTAATACATTGCTACTTTCGTCTAATGTCACAACTAAATCACCATTGCAGCATGTAATGCTGTGTCAACAAAACTAGACGCAGCAAAAATCAAACATACTTTACTTTGAAAACTTTGAAAATTAATGATCTTTATTCTTTAACTGACGGTTCTAGAGTATTCTTTAGAACAGGTAAACAAACTATGACGTAATAATGGTATAGGTCCATTCAATACTATCTGTTGGATGTAATGTTCTCAGGATTTGCTGACATCTGCTTGGAGATGAAGACTTTGTGTATGACAAACTGTGTCTCCACTATTTCAGGAGCTGTTTGAGCCCCAGACCGGCCTGCTGAGGTACGTGTTAGAACAGCCCTACTCCAGGGACATGGTGTGTAACATGCTGGGGCTCAACAAACAGGTAGGTACATGTACTTTGTTTTTGGCTGCTCAGGTTCACAGGAAGTTTTTTTATGTATTTCATCTTCAGCAGCAAGGATTTGAAGTGATTGGGCAGAGATTGTTTTTAGATGATTGACAGGGTTGTGACCCAGCATGCTCGTGTGTGGAAGGATGTGGTGTGAGGTAGCCAGAAATGTGTTCTGTGTTATCATGGTGTGAAATAGGGCTGCGTACCTAAACGTAACATCAGGTACAGGTACAGGTACCGGTACAGAGGTTTAGGTACAGGTCCGGACCTGTACCTGTACCTGAACAATTTGACAAATTAACACGTGTTCTTCACTTTTTCAATCATGACACAGAAACAATAATAAAGTGTTGACAACTTGTCAGTATCTTTATCACAACCCTGGATCAGCCACACTCTAGCGATGTCTCGTGAGACTGAGGATCTCAAATCAATCGACGGTGTTTACGTCTTTTCCAGTGCTAATTTTTCGTCTTTGTGGTAGGATTTACCTATCTTTAGTCATATACATGGTGTAAACTAGCTATTTCGGTATATACTCGTTACTTCATGATCCGGTATTTTGGACCTGTACCGAAACGATTTTTACGGTATTGGACCGGTACAATGTACCGGTCCGCAGCCCTAGTGTGAAACATGGTGTAATATCCAAACAAATAAGGTCAGTGACCTGGACCAGACGTCTGTCACCATAGTAACTGGTGCTGTAGCAGACACCCTGTGGTGTTGGGTTACAATATTTAGCAGGACAGAGCTGGAGGAGATGCTCATCATATATATGAAAGTGTTTGAGTAAGAATAAACAGAGCAGTAGTTTGTTAAGCTAGGCCATGTGAAGGTAAACATTCTACATTATTTTTGCTAAATATGCAAATGTTACCTTTCTAGTTTAATTGGGTATTTCATACAATACAGTTCCAATACATTTGGCTGTCTTTGCCCCCCCCCCCAGCACAAGCAGAGGTGTGAGGTGTTGGAGGAACAACTCGTGGACCTGATCGTCATCGCCATGGAGAGGTCGGAACACGCCGACACCGCCCTCGACGACGGAGGCGCCAGCCAGTTGCTATGGCAACACCTGTCCAGCCAGCTCATCTTCTTCGTGCTGTTCCAGTTCGCCAGCTTCCCCCACATGGTGCTATCCCTGCATGAGAAGGTAGGGGGAGCTGCTGCAAGGGAAGATTACATCTAGTGTGATCTAGTTTAGATGTACGATGATATGGCATTGAGAGAGCCACATATACTACTACTAATATAGTACTGTACATAAAACACAGAGACAAGTTTCCCCCACATGGCTGCTGTCCCTGCATGAGAAGGTAGGGGGAGCTGCTGCAAGGGAAGATTAGATCATGTGTTAAAACTTAAAGTTTAGATATATGATCATGTCGGCAGAATGTAATGCACCTGTGTGACACCAGTAATGTGTTGTGCACAGCACTTTGGCAGAAGGTCTCAGATGGTCGTATTCGCGTATACATGTATAAGGTTAATATCCCAACTGTAGTTTCCAAATGTTGTGTTGGAAAAGATATCCTCTGCAACAGGCAAAATTCTGATGCCACGTTAATAAAAGATCTAACGAAATCCAACAAAAATCAGGGTTTCGCACAGGCGCAGTATGTTCTGTCGATGTGCTAGATATATGATAATATGACATTGACTGATTGAGAGAGCCACAAATACAATGTACTACAGACTATACATGAAACAGATGTGATTTTTAAAACTACCTGACTGCTGTTCCTTCATGAGAAGGTACATTTGTAGGGGGAGCTGCTACAAGGCAAAGGTCATACATGATACATGTAGATTGCTAGTAATTAAGTCATGATAATCAGGTATATACCGATACTGAGAGAGCCACATAATATACTAACACATAACTACATGTAAGAATCTGATTTTGTTGAACCAACATGAACATTACAACTGTATCTATGCTGTATTCCAGTTGATTGATTGATTGATTGATTGATTGATTGATTGATTGATTGATTGATTGATTGATTGGTTTTGTTCCAGTTGGTAGGCCGAAGCCTGAGGAAGGGCAGGGACCATCTGATGTGGGTCTTACTGCAGTTCATATCAGGCAGTATTCAGAAGAACCCAGTAAGTACTGAGAAACTGTCAACTCTTGGTTTGATGGTACACTTCTGATGCTTGCTTTGCTTTAGTCCTCAAGATCTCATTCAGAACTTCATTCAGAATGCAGTGCATGTAAACTCCATTCACATGTATCTGCCAGGTTACATATTTCCGCCACTTTAAAAACAGTGTGTTTGCGAGATCTCTAGTACAGTAACCCCAGGCATGCACAGTTTAGATATGCATTTTACTGGTGGATGTTGCATTGGAGATATCTCTAGATGCATTTTTTCAAGGTGGTGGATATACATGTATGTTACAGTAGAATTATGTTTAACTTAGTAGACATTAGATATTTGCCAAAACCTTGCCTCATCATCACCATTCTTTTGTATTCTTTTTTATATTAGCTGAGTGACTTCCTCCCTGTGATGAAGCTATTCGACCTGCTCTACCCTGAGAAGGAAAGTATCCAGGTTCCTGACATCAACAAACCCCAGTCGACGCATGCCTTTGCCATGACGTGCATCTGGATCCACCTCAACAAGAAAGCACAGAACGAGGACTCCAAACTACAGAGGCCCATCCCACAGGCACTGAAGTCTCAACTGGAGTGAGCACATGTTTAAAGTCTCACCTAGAGCTTTCGACCAGTCATTCTGGTCTTCCTCAGTAGACTGACCCAGTGAAGCTTATCACCTGGCTTCTTTGATGTGTGACACTGGCCACTGGGTAGTACTTGGTAATACATGTACAGTCAAAACTGTGAAAAAAGACCACCCAGGGGACCGAAAAAATCTGAACTATGTTAACAGGTGGTCACTATAGACAGGATTCTTATTGGTTGGGACAATGGGGAAATTTATGAAAAAAGTGGTACCAGTCACAATGGCCAGGTGGTCCTTATATAGAGGTGGTCACTTGTACAGGGTCAACTGTATGTTATATTGAACAATGGCACCCAAACTCAAAGATTTTGACCACATCCATCTATAATGTAAAAACCAAAAAAAAACTTACTTTCTCACCTGTCAATGTTGTGTGTGACCTTGACTTGTTGTTTTTCTCAGGTTCCTACAGCAGAGTCTGAGAGGAGGAGCCAAGAATCTTCCCATGTCAGACTATAGAATAGCAGTCCTGTGCAATGCCTGTAAGTTAGTATGTTTATTAACTAAAGTTATTGTGCATCTTGTTTTTGCTCTGTTTCTTCTTCTTCTTCTCCAAACAAATAAGGTCAATGACCTGAACCAGACATCTGTCATCATGGTAACTGGTGTTGGGTTACGTCATGTTGCAATTTTATAGCAGGAGGGATTTAGACTCCTGTCACCATATATATGAATGTGTTTGAGTAAGAATTAACCAGACCATAGCAGACCATATCCAAAGGTAAATGTTATGCATTTGCTTTGCAAATGTTACCTTTCTAGTTATTATTATTATAATAATTATTGTTGCATCGGCAAGCTCATTTTATAAGGACTTTTACTTTCTCAAAGGATTAAAAAAAACACTTTGATGCTGTCAATGATTGTGGCAAAATTTGACATTTTCAGTAACAACATTGTTGTCCAAATTGTTCCCCTTCAGATAGCACCAACACTGAGTTCTTTGGGCTCCCCATGGGGGTTTTAGTGGAGACTATCTATGGCTCAGGGAAGACGACAACCCCCCTGCCCGGCCCCGGGAATGTGGTCGCCTCCGGACCAACCGCACCATTACCCATGAACCTCCTGGATTCTCTCACGGTCCATGCCAAGATGAGGTATTGTTTGTTTGTTCGTTTGTTTGTTTGAGCCTTTGTTAATTCATGAAATACTGAAATCGAAAAAAATACAGTGTTGTCCTATGGTTGTGAGTCTTGGGTAATCACGAAGGACATGGAGAACAAAATCAACTCCTTTGCTACTTCGTGTTACCGTATTATGCTGAACATCAAAAGGCGTGACCGGGTAACAAACGACAGCATTTACAACCTGACCCAAACTAGTCCGCTGATTCAGCATGTGCGTCGGAGACAGCTGAACTTCCTGGGACACATCCTGCGCATGTCTGTGGATGAACCTGTTAGACTGTACGCCCTCTACGTGCCCTCTCATGGCAGACGCAGGCGAGGCCGACAGCCTACCTCCTACTTCAAGTATGTCCAGCGACTACTGGGAGATGATCACAACCAACTAACAGAGAAGCAGATCGCCAACCTTGCTAGCGACAAGGGGCAGTGGAGGGACCTTGCAGTCGCCTGCGCAGCAGCCGACCGATGATGATGACTGAAATCTATGACAATTGATTCATCCTGCACTTATACCTTTATTTTGATTTTGAACCATTTGTGGTTAAAACACGTTTGGATGAACCTTTCAATCTACAACTTCTAAAGAAGTTTTTGGCCGTATTTTGTCACTTTTTAGAGTTTCCAGAGAAATGGTGATGCTGTTACACCCCACAATTACTGTTAAGACATGAAAACACAATCATACTGATAATATACAATGTACAAGAAATACAAGATTGTTTTGTTTTAGGCTAGTTACAGACTTACTTGCATTAGCCCGTATGTTCAGTAAGTAGTAAGATTTTTATTGTATTTCTATTTCATAGTGTGTAGTTAACCATGCAAACATCGCAGTACCTTTTAGTGCATCAATAAAGCTTCTGTATTTTCCCTCTGGTGCAATGGCCAAGTGGGTATGCACATAGAGTGCTCTCCTTGCATTTGGTGTAGGTCATGAGTTCGATCCCCGGCGGAGTCATACCAAAGACTTTAAAAATGGTACATACTGCTTTCTCTGCATAGCACTCAGCATTTGAGAAAGAGTATGGGAGTTACGCACACCACTTCCGGTGAACTAGCCCCCTGCTGTAGTGATTGCATTGTGTGGCCCAAGGGCTACGAAACACAGACAGGCACTGCCATATGCTGGATACCATGCACTTACATCACTTCAACAAACCGTTTCTAGGCACTTCCAGCTGTTCCTTTCTAACCTTGTTATTTAGTATCCTTTTTTTTCTCATATAAGGTAGTCTGACTGTGACTTATTTTATCGACCTCTGACCTCCAAATGTGTTATTTTAGATGTGTACATATATTTACTTGGCTAATTGGAATGATATAGGTTCTTATGATCATTTTTTTGTAATTTCACACTGTTGATATTATGTGCCCTATATGTTTTGTCCTTATGTGTTGACTCTCTAACATCAGCTTTGCTGCCTTGAGAGTCAGTGTAATGTCTTGTTGCATTTTCAATAAATAAATAAATAAATGCTAATGGTTGTGGGAGGGCTTTAACTAACAATTTTCTAACTAAGTAATTTTCCTTCCCAGCCTGATCCACAGTATCGTGACCCGAGTGATCAAACTGGCCCAGACCAAGTCCAGCCTGGCTCTGGCCCCTGCCCTGGTGGAGACCTACAGCAGGCTGCTGGTCTACATGGAGATAGAGTCACTGGGCATCAAGGGATTCATCAGTAAGGACTGTTTGTTTGTTTGTCTGTGTGTGTGTTTGTATGTGTGTGTGCATGTGTGTGCGTGCGTGCGCGCGCGCGTGTGTGTGTGTGTGTGTGTGTGTGTGTGTGTTTGTTTGTTTGTATGTTTGAGACCTACAGCAGGCTGCTGGTGTACATGGAGATAGAGTCACTGGGCATCAAGGGATTCATCAGTAAGGACTGTTTGTTTGTTTGTTTGTTTGTGTGTGTGTGTATGTATGTTTGAGACCTACAGCAGGCTGCTGGTGTACATGGAGATAGAGTCACTGGGCATCAAGGGATTCATCAGTAAGGACTGTTTGTTTGTTTGTTTGTGTGTGTGCGTGTCTGTGTGTGTGTGTGTCTGTGTGTATGTGTGTGTGTGTGTCTGTGTGTGTGTGTGTGTCTGTGTGTGTGTGTGTCTGTGTGTGTCTGTGTGTCTGTGTGTGTGGATAAGTCCAAGTGACAGTGAAAACAGTGAACAAATCAGGAATTACAGTATTTTGTGCATGCATAATGCGTTGTTCTCCTTTCCTCCAGGCCAGTTGTTACTGAACGTGTTTAAGAGCCATGTGTGGGGCATGTCAGGGGTTGAAACCCAGAATCTCTTGATTCTGTACCCCCAAAAAATACTCTAACCATTATGCCACACAATGCCACTATCGATAATATTTATTTTGTACATGTATAATGTGTTGTACTCCTCCCCTCCAGGCCAGTTGTAACCTAACGTGTTTAAGAGCCATGTGTGGGGCATGTCAGGGGTTTAAAACTCAGAACCTCAGTCTTGATTCTGTACCAAAAAAAAATACTCTAACCATTATGCCACACAATGCCACTATTATATATTTTGTGCATGTATAATTTATTCATTCATTTATTTAATCTTTAGACAGTTGGGTAGCCCATTCTATTTGCAAGTCACTTTGGTTTTCAATTGGGTCCAGCACAGTTACAGTAAAATCATCAATATAACAGAGGAAATAAACTTAAATCAAAATTGAACATAAGTAACACACATAGGGTTGTTAGCCATAAGTAACACAAGTATCCAAAGGAATACATAAACAAAACATGTGATACATGAAATCATTAAGAAAGGCCGATGTAAACAAAATAATGCATTGTACTCCTTTTCTCCAGGCCAGTTGTTACCGAACGTGTTTAAGAGCCATGCGTGGGGCATCCTGCACACGTTACTGGAGATGTTCAGCTACAGGCTGCACCACATCCAGCCTCACTACCGGGTACAGCTGCTGTCTCACCTCCACTCACTGGCAGCCGTGCCGCAGACCAACCAGAACCAGCTACATCTATGGTCAGTCGTCATCATATTAACGTTGAAATAGTGCTGCGTACCGGTTCACTGGACCGGTTCCGGACTTGTTTAGGTTCAAGTCCAAAAAAACCTAAAAGTCAAGAATCGGATTTATTACCACAAAAGACCATTTCACATACCTAAAACCTTCCGTAGATTGCAAAATCTGTGCTGCAAAATGAAGAAAACTTGTGGCCAAAGTTTCACCCAAACAACATTGCAAAGTTGCCAACATGCAATTTTGTATGTGCCATGGGTTTAGGTCCGGACTTACAAGTCCAGTACTGAACTTAAACCTCTGGACTTGAATCCAGACCTGAACCTAAATGTGGGTTTAGGCATGCAGCAATACAATGTACGTTGAAACCAACAAATTGCCCCACCTGATTGTATAAGGCTATTGTTTTTTTGTCTGTTTGTTTCACATAACCCTGAAACTTAACTTTGACTCACCATTTCTTCCATGACATTATTGTTTTGAGTAGTGCCAATAGTGTTTGCATCTATGGTCAGTCACCATCATAAACCTGCAATTAGCAACACCAGTCCTGATTGTATTACTGAATTATTAGGCTATTGTTGTTGCTTGTTTTTCTTTCGAACATAACCCTGAAACTCATCATTACTTTCAGGACGGAAGTATAGTTTTGAGTTAGTGCTAGTTTATGCTAGGTTTGTATCTTTGCGTTCCTAAGTGAGTGGGCAGAGATTAGGTTTCACTCAATTTACAGGGTTTTGACCCAGTTTGACCTTTGGTTCAAGCATGACGTGGTTGCCAGGAATGTATAAAAAATTAAACATAGTGCAATAGTAAGGTACTACAATAGTTTGAGAAGCAATCATTCGTTGATGTAATTATGTACATTCAATACAAACTACATCTATCTACTTGCTGGAAGTTTTAATTAAATCTCTGATTTCTTGTTTCTACTGTGTAGTGTGGAGAGCACTGCCCTGAGGCTCATCACTGGTTTGGGGAGTGCCGAGGTCCAACCTCAGCTATCCAGGTTCCTGAACGACCCCAAACAGATCCTCTCGGTTGAATCCGAGGAGCTGAATCGAGCATTAGTGTTAACCTTAGCGAGAGCCATGCATGTGACAGGTAGGTTTTCGTTTTATATGACTACTTGCTATTCACACATTAGGCCACACCGATTTAATTCTATGGATGACATCCTCTGAAGACCCCCAAACTAGTGCGCGCGGGCAAATAAAAAAAATTCCGGCCAAAAATAAAAATGCTACTAAACAACAGGAATACAAAGCTGGTATTGTGAATTTGCGGCAGTACTTAGAGACGTATACGACAAGCTGGCTTTTTGCGGAATGTATGAATCGGCACTGTACATATGTACTGAATTCTTGAGTCGTGGAGCTTTGAATTCGATAGCCTGGGTGCTTGGCTCCGTATTGTTGCTAACTACCATGGACTACCCAGGCCTAGAGCCAGGCCAGAGCCTTCTGACCGTCACTGCCTGTGTTTCAGGTTCAGAGACCCTGTCAGGCAACTGGTGTAAGGACATCCTGACCACCCTGATGACCAACACCCCTCACAACTGGGCCACTCACACCCTCACCTGTTTCCCTCCAGCACTGCAGCAGTTCTTCAAGCAGGTGGGCAAACAGCAGGTTTTACCTCAAATCCTGTCTTGAATGTTCGTCTCTGTTGGTAGAAATCAATATGAAGCAAGTTTAAACACAGTGTAATTTCCAACACAACAAATTGGACTCACCCAAAATCTATATCAGGGCATTACAACCATCCCTCAACAGAGACGGGGGGCGCCACAGACTTTCTGCAACCTATGATCCACTGCTCACGGAGTCACGTGTGTTATCTGCGTGACGTCACAGAAGCGGTGGATTGCTCATTCCCTGACAAAGACTGGAGTTGTACAGTCTAAAATTTGGGTGAATCCAATTTCTTGTGTTGGAAATTACAGTTTAAACTTGCTGCATGGGGTTTACCTGCATGAAAAATAGTGATGTTAAAGAGAAGAGAACAGGCACACAGATAGTCTGCTGATGACTAAACTGGTAAAGAAGAAAGAGGCATTATGGAACATTGTTGCACCAAAAATTGACATATTTTCATTGAAAAAAACGTCATTTGATTCAATTGATTGTAATCTACTTCAACATATTTGTGCAATCATCTCATATTTCTGACATTTATGGTTGGTGCTAAAACAGCCCACATTAGGTACTCTCTGAGCATTATAAAATTTCAATTTTACGAGAGCCAGTAAGGTTTGTAATTAGATTTGTCTGACACGCTACTTTATTTTATGTTCACCACCTGAATATTTGTGTATCATCATGATCATCAGGCAGCTGCAATGCAGGCCACTGTAAGTTTCTTCCAGTTCGGTTCGTTGCCAGCAAGGTGGGTGATTAGGGCATAGGTGACTGCCTGGAGCAGTGCTTTGCAAGTAGGTGGAGGGTTGGCGTCCACTTTTGCATCTGCCGTGTGGCGGGGCATACAGATGGGGCCTAGGAAAAAAATGTTGTGTTTCCGGCTTCCCGGCCAACCTTAGCAAAAACCCGCCTTTTTCAGGGTGCGACAAATCTGGCACTTTCAATCTGAATTTTAAACCCTCTGAACTGCTATTTCGCTCATTTTCAGAAGCAATTTGTGATAAATTGGGAGAAAAATTTGTACCGTCCCCAGAAAGAAACGGGGGAGCGGGAACTTCCTTCTCTGTCTCCACCAGTGGAAGACTGACTGGATCGAGATGACTTTGCTTTTTTTTTTAACGGAGTAGTTCAATGCAAGGCCTATACGACCACTTCTTGGCATTAAACTAGATGAACTATATGAGAGAAACATGACTATGTCAAGAGATGGCGGTGAACATTTGATTTAAAAGCCTGTAGCTTGTAGGTTGGTGGGAAATACTTGTCAGGGAGGGAATTCCAAAGCTTGGCCGTACGGGGAAAGAAACTGTAACTGTAAAATGATGTCAAACAAGGAATTTCTTTTCCTGTTCCAGCATCCGGTCCAGGTGGAAAACCGTCTGAACCTGAAGAAGAATGTTGAGGACGAGTTTCGCAAGTGGAAGTCGATGACGAACGAGAATGACACGATCCAACACTTCACTATCCAAGGAGCTCCTCCGCTCTTTCTCTGTCTGCTCTGGAAAATGCTGCTAGAGTCGGACAGAATCAGTCCTGTGGCCGTCAGGTTTGTTTGTTTGTTTGTTTGTTTGTTTGTTTATTTGTTTGTTGAATGAGACCATCCAGGGAGCTCCTCCCCTGTTCCTCTGTCTGCTGTGGAAAATGCTGCTAGAGTCGGATAGGATCAGTCCTGTCGCTGTCAGGTTTGTTTATTTGTTTGTTTGTTTGTTGAGTGAGACCATCCAGGGAGCCCCTCCGCTCTTCTTATGTCTGCTGTGGAAAATGCTGCTAGAGTCCGATAGGATCAGTCCTGTGGCTGTCAGGTTTGTTTGTTTGTTTGTTTGTTTGTTTATTTGTTTGTTGAATGAGACCATCCAGGGAGCTCCTCCCCTGTTCCTCTGTCTGCTGTGGAAAATGCTGCTAGAATCAGATAGGATCAGTCCTGTGGCCGTCAGGTTTGTTTGTTTGTTTGTTTGTTTGTTCGTTTGTATGTTGAATGAGTGAGACCATCCAGGGCGCTCCTCCACTGTTTTTATGTCTGCGCTGGAAAATGATGCTGGAATCGGACAGGATCAGTCCTGTGACTGTCAGGTGAGTAAGCTGTGTAGGCCTCTGGACCAACAAGTCAAACCCCTGTTCCTGTCTGCACAAGCTGTAATCTGAAACATACACAACATGTAACGGTATAAGGCCCGGTTTACACGTGCGTTGTTTATATGTGTTGGACGTGTCATTTTTCTGTGGCACGTCCAGGAGGTGCCACAGGAAAACCGGCACCGCACGTCTGTGGCGGAGGTTGTTTACACGCTAAAGAAATCTGTCGCACAAAACGCGCAGTGCTGCGCCGTGCGCGCGCACGCATCGTTTTACGCCCAACACATATAAACGACGCACGTGTAAACCGGGCCTTAGTCAATAGTTAACAGTAGGGTGGCTAGTAGTGATTAGTGATCACTGGTTAGTGATGCTACCTGTGCCCAAGAAGTCGGGAGTTTGAACCCTGGTTGTGACATGCACACTACTGGAAATTGTCACAAACTTTTGTCTCTCCTTCCCCCAACCTTTATACTGTAGATTCAGTAGCCCTTGTGCTAAACTTTGCATATCCTCCCCTCCCAGAATTATGGAGAGAATCGGAGCTCGCTCGCTGACATCCCACATCAGAACCTTCGCAGATTTCCTGGTGTACGAATTCTCCACATCAGTAGGCGGCCAGCACGTCAACAGGTTGGTTTGTTTCACTCACTCACTATCCGGTCCCTTTATTTCTTCTCTCATTCCTTCCTACTGTTCATGAGATACACTTCTACCAACATAACCTGTCCACAGCGTATCCATTGCCATATCCATTCACTCTTTCCTTCATTTACCCCTTTATTCCTTCTCTTGCTCCTACTGTTTGCTGGAGACATGTCTAGAAACCCAACCTATCCATGCCTATCCATTGGGTTGCAAGACACTAATAAGACCTCCCATTAACACTGTTACAGCGGTCTCCCAAGAAATTTTTAGGGGAGAGGTGCTCCCTACTGTAATCGGTTGATGTCGCAAAAGAAAATCAGCAAATTTTCATGAAAATACTCAGAGAAAACCCTAAATTTGAGCATTTTGGGAGGGGTGCTAGGATTTTGGGGAGAGGGGCAGCACCCATGTTTCATTGCTTGGGGAGAGTCCTGCTATTAACATTTAACATTGTGCTGTTAGTCAACGAGGAAGAACAACCTGTTGCACCCTTGATTTTGACTTTACCCACAATTTACCTTGCCATCTGTGCTATTCTTTCTGTGGTCCTTGCCATGTACATATAATATCACCAAACCTTTGCACATCTAATTGCAAGCATTGTTTAAAAGCTATCTAGTGAAGATACCCCTACTGTACTTGGTGGTATCGAGTTCCACTCTACCTACATGTAGAACGTTCTAGGAAAAGACCATTTTTTAATCAAAATGTTGTGGTCTGTTTCAGGTGCATTGAGATCCTGAATGACATGATCTGGAAATACAACATCGTGACGTTAGACAGGCTCATCCTAGCCTTGGTAAGGACGCTCTTCACATTCAGATGTGCCAACATTCATTTTATCTTTGTAAATAAATACTTTGTGTATAGATATTTTGTTTCTTTGAGGCCTTGTTTCGTCAGTGAAGGTTAGACATCCAGGTAATAAGACATGCCAAAAAACAGTTACACAAGCAACTGGATATAATTTGGAAATGGTCAGATGTTTCAAGTAGTATCCACATAAGTGACACGAGAGTCTTGTGCAGAAAGGCAGGTTTATAAGCAAGAACTATTCATTGATATTCAAATAACTGTAGACAAATTTTTAATTCATAAACTCCAATTTAGCATGGGTACCATCTTGGGTAGTTCACTCTACCCATTCCCTCGTGACCTCAGTGAAAAGTGGCCAGCAGACAATTTTAGTTACTGTATCTCATGAATAAACTAAGGCTCAAACAAGCAAATGAGAAAGTATGAATGATTTGATTTGATTGAGGAAACAATTTCTTTTGGCAAAATGACATTTTAGTTGATGCCTTTTCACAGAGTTTGTAATTTCATCAATAGGGCAAAATTTTTGTAAACATTTTTTTGTAATTGTCATCTTAAAGATGATTAATATTTTGTTAAGTCAACTAAAAGTAAATGAGTTTTGTATAAAAGATTCTGTACATCAATAAATTTTGTCACATCTGTAATTATGCATTTCTGTGTAGCTGTATTGTAACTTGTGTTGTTATGTTGTCTGTCTTACTGTTGATGACTTTTCCATGTACCCATGCTTTGATGTGCCAATTTGTTATTTGCTCTTTTTGACATTTTGCTTTTTTGATTTCAATTTGATTCTGACGTTTCCTCCTTTTGGGAGGAGACCTATATCAGGGCTCGAAATACTGGGTGCATGCGCACCTTAGTGCACCCAAAATTGAAGCTGTACACCCAATTTATTTGGGTACACTTAGATTGTATCTAAGTATAAGAAAAATAAGGAAATCTTTGTTGTAGTAATTTTCTTAAGAAACGAAACATAATTTTTATTTGAGTTTTTGCTGACATTCTACTTATTATGGTGCACCCAAAAACAATTTTGTGCACCCAGTTTTTTTAAATTTTATTTACTTCATATTCACCACAAAACAAGGCTCATGGCAGCCACTCAAATGTTTTGGGTTACTGTACAGCGAATGAGGACAGATGTTTACAGACCTTAGACTTGTTTAAGGTTATACGAGTACCCATTTGGGAAACAATCACGTGGTAGCCTGTTTCATAGTGATGTTGTTGTAGGTTCGGTGCAGCACCCGATGAATTTCGAGCCCTGTATAATATCATAATAATTTTACGTTTTTGCGATGCACATAATTTCATCACTACAACAATTCACTCCATACAATGTGGCACAATGCCAGGCGTTTCCTTCGTTTCAGGCCATGAGGAGCCACGAGGGAAACGAGGCGCAGGTCTGCTTCTTCATCATCCAGCTGCTGCTGCTCAAGCCGTCCGAGTTCCGCAATCGGGTCAACGACTTCGTGAAGGAGAACTCGCCGGAGCACTGGCTGCAGACGGACTGGCACAGCAGGCACATGAACTTCCACAGGGTTAGTACTACACTACCTTTGTGTGTATGTATGTGTGTGTGTGTGTGTGTGTGTGTGTGTGTGTGTGTGTCTGTGTGTGTGTGTGTGTGGCTACAGACGGACTGGCACAGCAGGCACATGAACTTCCACAGGGTCAGTACTCTACTACCTACCTTACATCAGTAAAGGTTAGACATCCAGGTAATAAGATACTTCAAAAAACAGTTACTCAAGCAACTGCATGTGGTTTTGTAAACTGTCATACTAACTTTTGTCATTGACACTACACAGCACACTACCTTGTTTTGTTTGTTTGCTTATGTGTCCGTAGTTATTGTTGACAGTTGACAGATGGACTGGCACAGCAGGCACATTTTGACCACAATTGTCTTAATTAGATTTTATTTACATTGTGTATTTGCACATAATAATAAAAACAAAATACATAACATTGGTAACAGCAAAATAGAGAACATGCTGGGAGTATGGAGGTAGAAAAAGAGACTACCTCCATGCTGGGAGTGTAAAGGATGCCATAATGGCTTGTTCCACATCTACTGGTACATGGTAATAGTCTTTTTTTAATCACTGCCAATAAAAATTATCAGTATTGTATCCTCATGTTTTCCAGAAACACCCAGAGAAGTTTTATTTTGAAGGCCTGCAGGAGTTGGCCTCAGGGTCACAGACATCAGTACAAGCCTACCTACCCATCTACTTTGGAAACGTCTGTTTAAGATTCCTTCCTGTAAGTGTGTTTTTGTACATATACAGTTATATCTGACAAGTTCTGTATAGCAAATTAATCACACAGTGGGTCAATATTTTTGGTGTAGATTGTGGAGAAATGCTTGTGTCCAGAGACACAGTTTGAACATTGTGCAGACATCTGGTGTTACATAATGTTGGTCAGGATAGGACCCGGTAACATGTCATCACAAACTGAGGGACAGTTGTGGAAGTATTGTGCAGACTTCTTACCAAAAAGGCTGCCTAAGTTCATTGTCAAGGATTGGTTTTGTCACAGCTTGCGCGAAGTTTCTTCAGCATGGAAATCTACCTACGACAGATGTGGCCGTGTCATTTCTTGCCACATCTTACACTAAAAGTTAAAACTGCTGTACTAGTAGGTGCATGAATATGAACAAGACAAATCTGTATAATAAACATATCTTCCAAGTCTTTATGTGATTGACATCATAATTGACAGGTGTCTGATTACATGATTGACAGGTGTTTGACATCGTGATCCACCGGTTCCTGGAGCTGCCGCCTGTCTCCAAGTCGCTGGAGACGTTACTGGACCACCTGGGAGGTTTGTTTGTTTGTTTGTTTGTTTGTTTATCTAAGGAATCTCCAATTAGTGACAATACACCACTACTCTTCCTGGACTCCTCTTACACACATTATGAAATACAAACATTATTAATATTATTAACTACAATTTACCTTCACTTCTAACTACTTTCAAAGAAAAGTTGTCTCATCAACATTTGATAATTGTATTTAAATAATGATAATTATATTTAAAGTTGAAACTTTTGGTCCAACACAAAAAATTCTCTCACCTAGAGCTTTCGACCAGTCACTCTGGTCTTCCTCAGTAGACTGACCCATTGAAGCTTGTCACATGGCTTCTTTGAAGTGTGACGTCAACACTGGGTCAAAGGTATCTGGTAGACGATGTCGGCCCCCGTCGCGGTTCCATGTAGGGTGATGGGCCCTGATGTATATGGCTTCCTTCCTCAAGAAATAGTCTTGTTCAGTGTCTAAATGATATGATATGGTATGATAATTATATTACAACAGGTCTGTACAAGTTCCACGACCGCCCAGTCACCTACCTGTACAACACCCTTCACTACTACGAGAAACGTCTACGTGACAGGCCCGCGCTCAAGAGGAAACTCGTCGCCGCTGTTATCGGTAAGGGGCATCTCTGGAAAATTAATTATCTTTACCTTCACAAATGAAAACATGTTCTTTTTGCTCAGTTTCTTCCTCTTCTTCTTCTCCAAAGAAATAAATTCAGTGACCTGGACCAGATGTCTGTCACCATGGTAACTGGTGCTGTGGCAGACAGTCCAGTCCAAGTTGATTGGAGTCTCTTTAAATCTGTTGCATTTGGGCATTTGGTCAAATTCCTGTTTCTATACGTCGATGAAGGTTAGACATCCAGGTAATACGATACGCAAAAAAACAGTTACTCAAGCAACTGGATATGATTTTGAAAACGTCAGACGTTTCAGCTAGTATCCATATATTTGCATATCAATCAATAGGTTGTGCTTATAAACCTGCTTTCCCCTCTGGTCTCTCAGTCACTGACGAAAGCTAGTGGATACTAGCTGAAACGTCTGACGTTTTCAAAATCATATCCAGTTGCTTGAGTAACTGTTTTTTGGCGTGTCCTGTTTCTATATTTAATTTGTGACTGCACACATAGGTACATGGTTATCTTTGCTTTCCAGGGGCCTTGAAGGACATAAGACAGCCCGGGTGGTGCCTGAGTGAAAGTTACCTGAAGTTTATAGGCCGTCCTGTGGAGGAGATTTCCTGGGTGCCTGATGACACCTACTATTGCAAGCTGATTGGTCGACTAGTGGACAATATCCTTTACTCGAACATTTCTGCAAAGTTTTACTAATCTCTACTGGGTACCCTGACATACACGTAATATATGTCAGTGCTATTCATCACTCATTAGTCATTGACCAATCCATTGAGTGCCTAGCTTTGGTTAGGAACATCCTATCTGAGGAGACTTAAAACTGAAGGTCCCATGTTTGAGGAAAACCACGCCTCAAGCTTGTTGAAGCACCCATCATCAAAAAGAGTAGGGCTCCCTCCCTGTGTGAGTGGTTCAAACTTTACAGTCCGGTTAACATCTTGAAAAGATGACAGTCACCTGTTTTAAAATTTTCAATCCTTTCACAAATAGATAGATCTTGTTTGGGGTTGAAACTCTTGATCCAACACAAAATTCTCTCACCAAAGTTCTCTCACCTAGAGCTTTTGACTCTCTGGTCTTCGTCAGTAGACTGACCCAGTGAAGCTTGTCATGTGGCTTCTTCAAAGTGTGACGTCAACACTAGAGGGTGTGTTGGATCAAAATTTTTAATTCCAAACATGTACCTACCAACACAGATGAACTTTCATGATAGATTGATAGATCCACGTCTCTTACTTGATCCACCTTGACTGTTCCCACCCATCTCTGGGAAGAACCCTCCCCCGTTCCCCAACTGTGACTGGAGGTTTAACGAGTTTCCAAATCCCGCGGCGCACGCCCTGCACGTCACGTGTGTGGAACTCATGGCTCTGCCTGTGGTGGGCAACACGGTCGGGAACTCACTTCTAAATGTTGTACTAAAGAGGTGGGTATCACAAATCTTGATATAGTTTCCATATTCAACGATAACTTAATTTGCATGCCACAACTTTTAAGCTTGTATGTTTAGCTATATTGAAGGGAATCAATTTACTGATTTTGTACATTTACATTGCATTGTACATGTACATGTACCTTTTGTAAAACGAACTTTGAAATATAGTCTGGTATAGACTATTGAACTACTTCTGCCCTAAAGAACAGCATGTACATGTTTGTGTAAGACTATTCTGATACATGTAATATATTAGATGTAATTTGTACAAGTTACTGTTCCATATTTTCCAGTCAACCTCTGGTTCCCCGAGAAAACATCATGTCATGGATGAACGCCATCGGCCTGGTGCTTACCTCTCTGCCTGTGAGTCAGAAATAAATTATTTCTTTTGTTGATAGTCCTAGACTTTAAATCGTGACATGTTTGCATACGTGTGCTTCTGTGTGTGTGTGTGTGAGTGTGTGTGTATGTGTGTGTGTGTGTGTGTATACATGCATTCTTGTGTGTGTGTGTGCGTGTGTGTGTGTGTGCCTGTGTGTGTGTGTGTGCCTGTGTTTGTGTGTGCTTATGTGTATGTGTGTTTGTGTACGTGTGTGTGTCTGTGTGTACGTGTGTGTATGTGCGTGTGTGGCGTGTGTGTGTGTGTGTATGCGTGTGTGTATGTGTTTGTGTGCGCGCGCATGTGTGTGTGTGTGTTGAATACATGTTTGTGGTAGCCATCAGATTTTGATGTTGTAATAACAGACTTTTTCGTTTCTCTTCAGGAGCCATATTGGATGGTGCTGCATGAACGTATCATCGCGACCGTGAAGTCCGACATCCTGGTCCTACCGGAGAACCTGGGCACCGACCCGTTCACGGCGTTCGACTTCTGCGGGAGCCAGGGCTCATACAACGAGGTGTTTTTTCCTTGTTGTTTGTTTGTTTGTTTAAATCATACAAGAACATACAAGACGAACAGTTAAAACACCTAGGTCAATCCCTTAATATGAGTTAATAATATGAACTCACGGGACGCAAGGTAAGTATGTGTGCGTCGGACTGACTGGATGTGGAAACTGCAGTTTCAAAAGGGGTCTAGGGGTTAATAATAAGTATTAACATAAACATAACATAACATAACAAAAGATATGTAGGGGGAAGATAAAAAGCCATTATGGCCTGTCCGGGATCTTCCCCCGACAACAGTAATTGATTGACACATTATTATATCAGTAGTTGATCAAATAGTACTTACGATATTCAACAACATATAATAATGATTATTATTATTCATAGATAAGAACAAAAATTAATGATTAGTAAGTAACACTACTTAATATTAGTATTGTAACACTTAAAGTTTACAACATTTCAATAATGTTGTAAATGTGATTTTTGAATCCTACCGCCACCCTAGGTCCAGTGCAGCTATGTCCTGGCCCTGACGCACGCCGTGTGGCACCACTCCAGCATAGGGCAGCTCACCGTGCTGCCACAGTGAGTACACAGTCTGAGCTTCAGATTTTCTTGTATTTTCCTTGAACTGTCATAGAATGGAACTTGCTGCCAACAAGGACAGTTGGGACATCCTCACTATATAGTTTTAAACAGCGCATACAGCTAAATGTGTAAGGGCTAGGTGTAACAAGTCATTCGGTTTGTATAGTCAGCTGCCGCTGCACTGTGTGCCTGTGAAGATGGTGTGTTATACCGAAGAGCAATTACACTGGCTATACAGATACGGCATCGTTACAGTATTATGATTTTACCAAAGGGTCTCTCTCTCTCTCTCTCTTGTATTGATAACTTCTTTCTTCCCAGGTTCCTGAAGGACCAGCTGAAGCCCCTGATCCAGTCGGAGGAACAGTTCCTCTTCATCTGCCACCTGGTGGGGCCCTTCCTGCAGAGGTTCCACCAGGAGCGCACCAGGTGTCTGCTGGAGGTGAGCTGTAACCTTTAATCTGTAACCCTATGACCTATAACCTCCTGACCTATAACCTTTGGTAAACCTGTGACCTGGTGGGGCCGTTCCTGCAGAGGTTCCACCAGGAGCGCACCAGGTGTCTACTGGAGGTGAGCTGTAACCTTTAATCTGTAACCCTATGACCTATAACCTCCTGACCTATAACCTTTGGTAAACCTGTGACCTGGTGGGACCGTTCCTGCAGAGGTTCCACCAGGAGCGCACAAAGTGTCTGCTGGAGGTGAGCTGTAACCTTTAACCTGTAGCCTTCTGGCCTTTAACCCTCTGACCTATAACCTTTAGCAAACTTATGACCGCACGAGTTGTCTGCTGGAGGTGAGCTGTGACCTTTAACCCGTAACCTTCTGGTCTACAACCCTCTGGTATTCAACCTTTACTAAACATCTGACTTTTCACTGTCTGTGCCCGTGCCACTGGCAAGACCTGTGACCATTTTTATGAATGTTAAAATGAGTGTTCTCAATGTAAAATACTTCTTGGGTAAGTTGGTTGGAGGTGTAGACAATGCTAGATGGCAGTTGATATTGGTTTTCAAGGCTAGATAGTTGCATTTGGGAGGGAAACACCAGACAAATTATGTTGCCTCACATTTGCTCAATGTTTGATTTTTTTTCCTGTCCCCCCAGATCACAGTGGAGCTGTATGAGATGTTACACAACGTGGATAAACACTGTGAGAAGTTACACTGCATCCACACCATCGCAGACTTCCTGTATCCTTCTCACAGCATGATGTGTATGAGGTTTTATGTCATACCTGGGCCGCGATTACGTTCGATACGGGTGTTCTGGCCCGTGTGATAACTAGCGGTACGGCCCAGGGGTTCTTAATGCGTACAGCCCGGCCCTTCCAAATGTTCCTTAGAACGATTTGAATGCGTTTTGCCCTAACCACGTGCAACGCTTTCGAAAATTCGAATGCAAAGTTCGGACGTTGGAATTGATGTTGTTGCGTTTTTTGGGATTAGGGACACCAAAGTTTTGCTCATTTCGTATTAAAAGGCGTGTTTTCGTGGGTGGGTATGACATAAATAAAATACAACACGGTGTATTCCGCATCACCCTCGGTCCCAGCCCTCCCGCGGATCGGATCTCCCTCCGGCCTTCGGGCAATCCGACGCGCAGTCGGGCGATACGGAATGCTCTGTTTGTTCTTCCTCTTCTTCTTCTTCTTCTTCTTCTCCAATCAAATAAGGTCAATGACCAGAACCAGATGTCTGTCACCATGGTAACTAGTGTTGGTTTATATCATGTTGCAATTTTATAGCAGGAGGGATTTAGACTCCTGTCACCATATATATGAATATGTTTGAGTAAGAATTAATAGAGCAGACCATAAGCGAAGGTAAACATTACTAGTATGCCAAAAAGCACAGTCACTGACGAAAGCTAGTGGATACTAGCTGAAACGTCTGACGTTTTCAAAATCATAATATCCAGTTGCTTGAGTAACTGCTTTTTGGCGTATTGTATTACCTGGATGTCTAACCTTCATCGACGCATTACTAGTATGCTTTTGCTTTGCAAATGTTACCTTTCTAGTTACGATGATACATCCTTAACATGACCCCCTCCCCCCCAGCTATCACGTGAAGTACATGTTCACAGGCGACGGCGTGAAGAACGAGGTGGAGCGAATCATCCGGACGTTTCGCCCGGAGCTGCAGAAGGGCCTGCGCTACATCACCTCCCACATCAGTAAACCCAACGAGGCATCAACCTCAGCAGCCTCCTGATATATGTATAAAATGTGTATGGCCTCTTTTGGTTAATATTGTCCATGTAATGTCCTAAATGTGGCCCAGACGTTTCACCCGGAGCTGCAGAAGGTCCCACGTTACATCACACACATCAGCAAACCCAATGAGGCCTCAACCTCAGCTGTTTCCTAAAACCCTTGTCTTGTGGAATCGTGCATATGTACGATTTGGGGGCGTTTCTCATGCAACACATCACACCGCAGTGAAACGCAACGAATATGGAAGTAACTACGCCACCGCAGGGCAAAAAAAAGTCAAGGGTCTGTGACCTGATTAAGACCTGAAATTATTGAAAAATATATTGTAAAAAATGGCAGCAGGACAAGGGTTGAAAACAACTCCTGACTATCCAATAATCTTTCAAGTGCCATACATTGTATACTGGTATATTATGGCATTGAATGGTCAACTCGCTAGGCCCAACCTATAAGAACGAAATGGAGCTACAGAAGGGCCTGCAGTAAACCCAGTAAACCCAATGAGGTATCAACTTCTGCCTCTTGATCACAGCTCATGAACTGTCCAGTATCCATCCAGCAAAGCTTTCCAGCACCATACATTGTATATATATTGTGGTGTTGAGTTGCTAGGCTACGTGGTGTAGCCTGGTTACCAAAGCTGTTCTAGCTCTCTTTCGTCTTCTAATAGGAGTGCTAAGTTGCCATGTTCAAAGTCGACGCAGGAATCTTGTCTGGAAGCACTGTGCCATAATGCTAGGAGCCTAGGAAAGTGATAATCCCCATTCCTACATAATAGGTGTATTTTCTTACTCCTTTTCTGGCCTAGAGTCTTCAGACTTTCAAGTTTAGACGATGTATAAGATCATGGTTTTCAGCTGTATGTCATGAAATTGGAGGAGGAAAGGAAGAGGTGCTTAACATCATCATCAAAGAATTTTGTTCACTCGAAGGAGGAGCTGGATAACATTCTGTCGCTAAAAAAACAGCCCTTTTGGAGGAAATGCAATAATGAGACTACAAAAAAACCACATCCCAGATGCCAGATTTATGTACAAATTTATTTTAAAAATCTGGATGTGGTTGACTGTGGTAGCCTGGGTGCCAGATTGTTCCAGGGCCAGCACATAGCCTAGCTCCTCTGCTACAGGGCTAACCACAAACACCACTCAGACCTTTTATTTTTTTAGGCCTTTGTACTGGCCCTGTCAACAGTCTGGTACCCAGGCTAGTCTGTGGTAAAGAGGTCAAGCTAAGGCCACAGCAAGTAATTTTTATGGATGACATCAGCACGGGCATTAATTTTCGCCTGATTTTGGAAAAAGAAGTTTTGTTGCCTTCTGACAGTGGTCAACATGCCGAAAATGAGCAAAGATGCCTGTTGCCATGCCAGAACGTGGATGGCAGATAACTATGAAGAAAGGAGACAAGAAAAGGATCTGATTTAATGTTTTGTTTCTTACTTTGATGCAGTGATATATGCTGCTGGCTGTGTATATGTGATGTTCCCACTGAATAAAAACCATTTGCACAATGATTGAGTCAAAATTCTAAAATGTAGGAACCTTGTTTTTTCGGACCACCTTGTTTTGTTTTCGCCCTATCGCATTAGATTTGGAGTCTGCGGAGGATGTCATCCATAAAATTTACTTGCTTTGGCCTAACAAAAAAGATCCAACAACTGGCCATTCCATTAGTTACATATAGCCAGAAACAAGTCGTTAAACCTTTTGTTTGTATATTGTAACTTATTGATGCATTTTTGATAGGTAGTTTGTGTTGTATTAACAAAATTGAAAAGATTCCACAGCGAAACCAGTGTAAAATAAACAGATACAGTTAATGTATATTTAGGTATACATTTCATATACTTTGCCATCACCATTCTTGTCCACAAATGTACATGCATATTAAGAAATAAATCTTGTGCAAATATTGTGAAAAGGGTAGATTTTGAGCGTCCTTTTATTAGGTTTAGAGAACATTTCCTTAGCCAATTCTTCAATTTACATGTATTTACAATAGTTTTCCCTTCAATACACAGTCCAGATGGTGTTGGTACTATAGGTTCTGTAAAACAACCATGATATCTAGGTGAGGGTAAGGGTTCCATGCACAGATTCAGTCCGGCTGAGGTCCAACAATCTCGTACGTAAGCAGCGCTCCTTTGCTGCCGTACTGCTCCCATTGCTGGGTCCTGTGTAACTTGCCCTCCCTGTCGGAGTCGGTGGGTGGACCGGTAACGTCACTCGGTCGTTCGCACTCGTACAGAATGCACTTCTTAGTCGGCATAACAGGCGGGTCCCAGGGTTTCTCCAGGGGTGTCGGAGCTACATGTATGGGCAAAACACAAACATCAAGTTAATACGGTAACCATTTTGTGAGTTTTGGTGACGTTGACAAAGGCTGAACGTTGGACTGTTGAAAATTTGGGTAACTCTATTTTGTGTGAGTTTGTCATTATGTTTACCCTCGCAGGAGGAAACCAAACCATACTGGGTTTTTTTTCTTCGTCTCTAAACGCATAAGGTCAATGACCTGGACCAGACGGCTGTCACCATGGTAACTGGTGCTGTTGCTGACGCCCTGTGGTTACATTATGTAGCAGAACTGCTGGAGGGGCTGCTCACCATATACTAGTACTGTATATGAAAGTGAATTTGAGTAAGAATAAACAGGGCAGTAGTTTGTTAGACTAGACCATGTGAAGGTAAAGATTATGCATTTGCTTTATAAAATGTTGCATCTAGTCACAGCTTAACTTTACTTCAGAATAATTCCTACGAACACAGAACAACTTTCAAGCTCTGAAAAATGCTGTGTTTACCTTTGTACCATTTCTTGAGGAAAAAGTACAAGTCAATAGCAAGTCCGCACAGCGCCATCTTGGTACTGAGTTTAGTTGGGATGACCTCTCTGTGACACAAGCACGTACTTCTCCTGATGACGTGGCCTTTCTACAGGAGTCGGGGCCTGGAAAAATGCATTATTATGTTTACCGAAGGAAAACATGTTTTTGCTCAGTTTCTTCCTCTTCTCCAAACAGTGACCTATGACCTGACCTATGACATGATTTGTTGACGTCTGTCACCATGGTGACTGGTGTTGGGTTACATAATGTTGCAATTTCATGGTCTGCTCTGCTCCTGTCACCATATACTAATAGTACATGCGAATGTGTTTGAGTAAGAATTAACAGAGCAGACCGTGTCCGAAGGTAAATATTATGCATTTGTTTGCAAATACTTCTCTAGTTAAATATCTATTATACATTGCTGTAAACATGTCTTTTTTTATAGGTTGAGAAAAATAGGGCAAGGCACTACGAAAGCTTCAATGTGCTATACACATAATCTCTTCAACACATTACAGTCGTTCTACAAGTAGGTGCGAACCAGACGCATGAATAGGCACAGTCAGCAGGGGGCGTGTGGCTGAATGAATGCCTTTCTGACTGGCTGGATGTGTGATAATCCACCACAGTAAAATGGATATCCCTAATGATGATTTTATGGTTCTGGGGAGGAGCACTGTCACGTTTCCTGAATAGGTTTGCCCCGCCCCGGGGTGAGTGCCGGCCATTTTGGAATCTTTATGTGCGTCCTTGCCCTACTCTTCATGCAGAGGTTTGGGTTTGGGTATATTTTTTGCGTGTTTTTAGGCTCTTTTATCGGGCTTTCTTTTTTCACTGGTATAGTTGGGTTGGCGTAAAAAAAAGATACATGTGCAAAAAAGACAGCCCAATAAAAAGTCTAAAAGCACGCCAAAAAGAAGCCCAAACCCAAACCTAAGCTTGGAGAGTATCCATGTCAAATTTGCTCACTGTCCATTTAACAATATATTATTAATATCATGTCCTATTGTTTCTGTACTCTGGCTGACCCCCTTTTCTCAAAAACATTCCGTTCCAATTTTCCGCTCCAGTTCTGGATTGTCTAAATGGTACTTATTTGGCAAAAACACATTTCCATTTCTTCTGTAGTCGTTACATTGTTCTCTGTTTTTCAATTAAAGTCACATAAAAGTCACATTTAGAAACACCTGTTAGTGTAAGTGTCCTTTTTTATGGTGCGGGTAAAAGGGAACTGCCCTCTCCCTCTTTTGGCGGAGCTCAACTCAAAACAGTATAGAACAACATGTCATGAAACAGAAAACATCCGTTTACTTTGTATATACAAACTTACAAGTCACGATCACTTTTGGTGAGAATTTAGTAGCCTCCGTAGCAGACTTATAGAACTGGGGGTTTGGTGGTCTTCGGCTGTTTTCTGATTCAAAAAACGGGGATAATTCAACCAGGCCGGCTATGTTGTCTATATGCAATCAGAAAATAGCACATAAAAGCTCCCAAAGACCCTGAAGATCCCCAGTTTTTGGCATGTTATGGAGGCTACTATGGATGTAGGTCAGAATTTTGATTTATGCCTGTATGTACTACTAGTAATTGGGACTCGCACGCTGTAAAATTTTACGATCTTTTAAATACCTATTATTAAACTAGTGGACAAAATCACCCGAAATGCAAACTACGTTGATGACGGTTATATATGTCACTAACACATATGTTACACTCATAGAACACTAGTTCTGTTGGACATTCGTGACGTTGAAAAAGAATGGTGGATGTCACTCGAAACGTCCGGAAATAATCTCCGTAATGAATATATACAGTGATAGAGTTTGAATTTTCTATGAGCACAAAATGCGAACGGTTTCTTACCTTTCTTTCCGAATTTCAGCCGCGATGTCTACATGTACTAACGTTACATATGAGTGCGGGGTGAGTTGTCTACAGTTGTCTTACTACGTGTACTTTTACGATTCGCTCGGCTAGAGTCTGCGTTAGGTAACAAAACCGGTTTTTCCTCTCTTCTGTCTTCAGCACGAAACTGACACAGTTTAAGTGCCGGACACAGCGTAATGCTAAACAGTATACTACCTTATTGTGTTCGTCTGCTAAATGACAGTATTAAAATGTTAATGTTGTAATAGACTTTTAAGTCGTATGATATTGTGATTGTCCAGGATTTAGACTTATTCTTAATTGTTCTTTGTAATGTCTAATGCTCATTAAGTCCTGATAATATTTGAAGGACGTACGTGTTTGTGTACAGAAACTGCAATTCAGAATTCTCTCCCCCCTCTCTCTTTCTCTCTCTCTTTCTCTTTCTCTCTCTCCTCTCTCTCTCCTCCTCCTCTCCTCCTCCTCCTCCTCCTCTCTCCTCCTCCTCCTCCTCCTCTCTCTCTCTCTCTCTCTCTCTCTCTCTCTCTCTCTCTCTCTTTGTCAATCGTCTGACCGACACCCTCTCAATTTGCAGTGCTGTAATCGTGAATACTAACAGGTGTATACATGAAAGACTTAAGTAACTTTGATGGAAAATAATTTAATGCAATGTAATGTGACTACAGGAAAAAAATGAGATTTCTTATGTCAAATTTGTAGAGGATCTAAAACCATACAGACAATCCAGAATTGAGCAATTATCGGAAGTGGAGCGGAATGATTTTTGATTGACTGAAAAGGCTATTGTCTCTGCACTCTGCCTGACCCCTTATTAGGACAGCAAAGAGAAATACAGAAAGGCTACGTGATCATGTTTCATGGCGTCATCACCGGTGGTACACATGCGCGCGCGCACGTACACACACACACACACACACACACACACACACACACACACACACACACACACACACACACACACACACACACACTAACACACACTAACACACTCACAAACACACACACACACACACAAACAAACACAATGAGTTCAGTGCAGAAAGTACTTAGCCGATCACAGAAAGCAGGATTTTTATTCTAGACAGCCGATCCAACATGGATATAACGTGTGTACCTCACACGCTCTACAAGCTATTATTCCAAAGTGATATATTAATCTGTAGATTCCGATATGATTGTAATTTGTATTTCCCTATTATTAATGATTCATATTGTAAACAAACATCAGAATTCAGCCCTGTATGTCAAGGCTGCGAGATATGTTGTTGATATGTTGATACAAATAAACCAATAAAGAAATTATTCATCATTGATGATATAATAAAATAGACTTCCGTTAAAATATCATATTACGCCAAATCACGGCTAGAGATGGTATTACCTTTTATGTCCTACCTGGGCCGCGATTACGTTCGATACGGGTGTTCCGACCCGTGTGATAACTAGCGGTACGGCCCGGGGGTTCTTTACGCGTACGGCCCGGGCCTTCCAAATGTTCCGTGGAACGATTCGAACGCATTTCGGCCTAACCGCATGCACCGATTTCGAAATTCGAATATGTTGTCGCATTTTTTTTGGGTTTAGGGACACCAAATTTTCGCTCATTTCGCATTGAAAGGCGCGTTTTTTGGGTGGGTATGACATAAATAAAATACAACATGGTGTATTCCGCATCACCCTCGGTCCCAGCCCTCCCGCGGACCGGATCGCCCTCCGGCCTTCGGCCGTCGGGCGATCCGACGCGCGGTCGGGCTGGTACCTCGGGCGATACGAAATACACCGTGTTGTATTCTATATGTCTCTACCAGGCTTTAGAAGTGGCAAACTGTACTCCTGTAGTGTACCAACTCCCCCAGCATGTTATCTGTCTATTTGGCCGATTCCTACTCTTTCCAGCCACTTCTGAAGCCTGGTAGAGGCTAGCTTTTACCCCTTCGATATTATCGATACGTTTCCACCAAACGTTGCTCTGGCATTTTCATTAGAAAAGTATCATTGGAACACGACAGTCAACATGTCACATGATTATACACGTATCAATTACTTAATTTGACTATACTAAACTATAGTAGGACCAATATGATCATCTTATTTTCGTTGGTGGAAACACCATACAACACATACTGTCTTTATATCAATTTGATACTGTCTTGTCTACTAGTATTTGATACTGTCTTGCCAAGTTTATACTGTCTTATCAATTTGATACTGTCTTGCTAAGTTGATACTGCCTTGGCAATTTGCTACTGTGTTACCAATTTGATACTGTCTCATCAATTTGCTACTGTCTTGCCAAGTTGATAACTATCTTGCAGCCACCAAAAGATCTGCTTGGAGATTACTTATAAGTAAAGTCGACTATAGTAAGATCAATATGATCGTCTTTAGCTGGTGAAACACCATACACTTGGGACCAAACACGGTTTGGTTCTATCTCAGAATGCTGTCGGGCCGTGGCAGTGTTAGTCCACACACAACCCGTCAGCCTAGCCTCCGTAGCAGGCTTATAGAACTGGGGGTTTGGTGGTCTTCGGCTGTTTTCTGATTAGCCCAGTTCAAAAAAACTGGGGCAAATTCAACCAGGCCGGCTATGTTGTCTATATGCAATCAGAAAATAGCACATAAAAGCTCCCAAAGACCTAACCTGGGTTCCAGACCCATAGCACACTGGACACAAAAAATAGGCTCACTGAGATATTTTGTGTCCAGTGTGCTATGGGTCTGGAACCCAGGCTACCAAAGACCCTGAAGACCCCCAAATCCCGTAGTTTTTTGGCATGCTATGGAGGCTACCGTCAGCCGCACTTTAGCTGATGTAAGCCACGCAAGCGTTGGCAATCTTCAGCACGACACACTTGTAGCGGAACCCTTCTTCGCAGGTGTCCCCATCCTTGATCAGCACCCGTTGGGTGTAGGAGACGTGCTTGCAATAGTAGTCCAGCATTTCTGCACCGCTCAGGTCGACCGGGAACTGCGTGTGGCACTGCACGTACTCGATAACCGTGGGACTCCTGTTGGGGTCCTCGTGCCTTTGCTCGGACCAGGGGCAGACGGGCCGCCCCCTCTGGGAGCCGGTCTTCAGGTCGGAGCAGGTCTGCGAGCCGTCGGCGCCCGCGCACGGCCGGTACAACTCGTTGGCGGGGTAGCTGGGGTAGGCCAGGGCGCTGGCATAACCGGACGTGCAGTTGGCGTACACCTACGGTGAAAAAATTAATGATATGATATGATATGAATCTTTATTGCATGTTCTTGCCCAGATGGGCTAAATGCACAAGGGGACATGCAGTATGCAAAACATGAATATTGCATACTGGAACGCTATATTCTAATGCTAAAGACCCTGAAGACCCTCAAAACCCCAGTTGCCAGGGCGCTGCTGTAACCGGACGTGCAGTTGGCATACACCTACAAAACGGTGAAAAAATTAATGTAACTAGAAGTAACATTTGCAAAGCAAATGCATTATGTTTACCTTCGGACATGGTCTGCTCTGTTAATTCTTACTCAAACACATTCACATGTACTACTACTACTACTACTACTGCTGCTGCTGCTACTAACGTTACTACTACTACTACTACTACTACTACTACTAATACTGCTGCTGCTGCTGCTGCTGCTGCTGCTACTACTACTACTTCTACTACATATGTACTACTACCACTACTACTACTACTGCTACCACTACTGCTACTGCTACTACTACTACCACTACTACTACCACTACTGCTACTGCTACTACCACTACCACTACTACTACTATTGCTACTAACCTCGGCAACCTGGGCGGCCGTCAGGACCAGGCATGGGGACACGGTGTCGTCCCCAGAGTTCCGTGCGGTGCGGACTGCCGCCTCTTCGTCGTTAGGCGTTGCCCCGTCGTTAGGCGTCGCCCCGTCGTCGCCATGGTTACACGATGTCGAGTCTCCTCCTTCCGTTGTCGTGATCGCACCGTCGGCAGTTGGGCTGACGTCGGTTGGCATCTCTGCGTCGCTACCTGACGTCTCCGCACCTTCGGTAGACGCTGGGCTGGCGTCTGCTTGCGTGGCGTCAGTTGTCACCTGTGACGTGACCGCACCACCAGTAGTACTCGGGTTGGCGTCAGTTGTTGGCAACTGTGCGTCTGTACTTGGCGTGAGCACGCCGACGTCAGCAGTAGGGCCCACGTCTGCGGAAGAAGACGACGTCGTCGCCGACGGAATGACGCCACCGTGGACTGACGCCAGGTGACGTCCGCAGCTCAGCAACGTCACAAGAAACACCTGGAAACGCACCAAGAAACGAAGTAGTAGTAATTTGTTTATTGTTAAAACACATTAGATCGGCCTTGCAGCCACAGCTGAATTGCGTCGAGCTTTTCCCTACAAATTCAACTACAGTAAAATAACATAGTTATTATGGCAATATGTGCAACTGACATAAAATATAAAACTCATATTGGGGCTTGTTTCTGCAGTTTTAAAAACCCAAAGTATGAAATACTGATTGAAATGTGCTAATGTGAAGCAGTATGTGTCAATGTTATAAAGCCTTATGCAGAATATTTTCAGTTTTGCTGCCCTGAAATCGCACTGGATGCCTTTAAACTACTCTCCAAGCAGAGGTTTGGGTTTGGGGTTATTTTTATTGCACGGTGGAAGAAAAATTCAGTGCAAAAGAGAAACCCCGGTAAAAAAAAGCCTAAAAACACGCTAAAAATAACCCCATACCCAAACCTCTGCTTGGAGAGTACCTTTAAACCTCCTTGGGTAGTTGCGACCAGTAGCCACGCGCTATTGGAGCGGTAAACTAATCAGGATGGCACCAAACAGACTAGCCAAACACACTGTCTTCAGTTTAAATCAAACACACGCGCGCATTCCTTCTCGCTGTATAAGTACGCCGCGTCAACAACTGTGACTAAACAATCCGGACTGTTTGTACTCTTGTAGGTCTTAAAGACTATTGCTTACTGATATTTGGTCGGTTGCTCATAGGAACAGCGCAGGGGGTACTGTTTGTATCGGCGGTGTATAATTGTAAGTAATGTAAAGCGTAATGTCTCAGGAACAACATTAAGAAGATTTGCGATTGTTTTGTACTCTTCGGGTCTTTTGCTTACAATTATTTGCTTGGAAACGCAACAGGGCAGGGGGTACCGTTGTATCGGTATACAAAGTAATGTCCCTCTCACACAACATTTAGGAACATTACGGTCATCAGATCTTTTGCTTATTGGAATTTGGGTGGTTGCTGGTCACAGGGGGTACTGTTGTTTCGGTATTGTATATCTAGTTTACCTAATATACACCCTAAAATACACACCACATTTTACGTTTGTACTCTTGTAGGTCCTCTGCTTACTGATATTTGGTCGGTTGCTCATAGGAACACTACAGGGGGTACTGTTGTATCGGGCACTGTATACTTACCTGTACGTAATGTACAAAGTAACGTACACAACATTTAGCAACATTTACAATTGTTTAGAACTCTTCGGGTCTTTTGCTTACAATTATTTGCCTGGAGACCGTTGTATTGGCAGTGTATACTTGTATCGGCGTACATAATATACACAGTAACGGTCCAAGAGTGACCCCCACACACAACATTTAGGATTTTTTTTTCATTTAGTAACATTTACGATTGCTTTGTACTCATCAGGTCTTTTGCTTGCTGTTATTTGCTTGGTTACTGTTAGAAACGTCACAGGGGGTACCGTTGTATCGGCGGTGTATACTTGTACCTGCTATACACAGTATTATAAACGTCCAACACACACAACATTTAGGAACATTTACGATTGTTTTGTAAATGGTCTTTTGCTTACTGGAATTTGGGTGGTTACTATTAGAAACGCCACAGACAGGGGGTACTGTTGCTTCGGTATTGTATACCTAGCTTACGTAATATACACCCTAAAATACACACCACATTTTAAGATTGTAGTCTTCAGATCCTGTGCCTACTGGAATTTGCGTGGTTGCTATTAGAAACGCCACAGGTAGGGGGTACTGTTGTTTCGGTATTGTATACCTTAGTATACCTATACTATTTTAGATTGTACTCTTTATGTTTCGTGCTTCCTGGAATTTTCGTGGTTGCTGTTGGGAACACCACAATAGGTACCGTTATATCTAGGTGTTGTATGCCTACTAACCAAAGTAACGCCCCAAATACAACATAACCAGACGTCCCATCTCTAGGGTACTAGTGAAGCAATCGGGACGGCAAGTGTTTGTCTTCAAATACTTGAGGCTTTTAAGGCTACTCGGGGCATGTGGTTTTGGTCGGTTGCTCCTAGATAATTGTAACTTGTTATGGTAAGCAAATTTTGATAAACGTACATCCGGCATATTTAGGGATGACCCAGAAAAGACCGTTAGCGCGTGTGCGCGTGTACAGGGTACAGGTGATTTTTTTTGTCGCACGGTCACTAGAATTATCACGACATTTTAAAGAATATAGATCGACTAGTCCTCTAAATTCTCAAAGCAGTCCTGCAGAAATGCTTCTGAATCTCTCTCCCTCTCTCTCTCTCTATCTGTCTCTCTCTCTTCTCTGTTTCACTCTCTCATTCTCTCTCTCTCAAAAGAATAGATAGACTAATCCTCTAAATTTTTGAAGCAATGTAACCACAGAAATGCTTCTGAATCTCTCTCTCTAGCTCTCTATCGGTCTCTCTCTCTTCTCTCTGTTTGACACTCTCTCATTCTCGATATCTCTCTCATTCTCTTTCTCTCTCTCTTTCTCTCTCTCTCTCTCTCTCTCGCTCTTTCTCGCTCTTTCTCTCTCTCTAGCTTTCTCTATGTCTCTCTCTCTCTAGCTCCCTGTCTCTCTCCCTGTCTCTCTCCCTCTCTCTAGCTCTCTCTCTCTCTCTCTCTCTCTCTCTCTCTGTCGCTCTCATTCTCTCTCTCTCTCTCTCTCTGGGCGTAGTGCGATTTTCAAGCAGACTAGGGTGACAGAAATAACAGCCGACAAGGATCTTACGATAACTACTTGACAACCACGCGACACGCACACGACACGTGTACGACTGTTCCAAGACTGATGCCCACAGATCATACGACGACGGATGTGCTAGGCCCTTAAAAAAACACCCGACCGAGCGGTACAATAGGTCGAACGTACGAAACTTCACGTTGAGCTTCTAACTGTCACCGGGTTCAGTGATCACATACACGTGGTAAGCAGTTCAGTGAGAGTTCATTCTGTAACTTGGCAAACAAGCATATCTAAAACATTTCAGGCATTCACATACCTGACATGAAGAGTGACACACTTCGAATTTCCAGCCTTTGAGTCCTTATGTTCGTGAAGGTGAAGGTTGGTTCAAGTCTGTTACAACGCGTTACGATCTTTGGATCTGTCGTAAAGTGGGGCCATTCTTGGGGGCAGCCCTAACCTAGCTCTACCAGGCTTCGGGAGGCGGCTGGGAAGAGTAGAAATCGGCCAAATAGAGAGATAACATGCCAGGGGAGTTGGTCCGCTGGAGAGTACATTCGGTATGTTATCTCTCTATTTGACCAATCTCTACTCTATCCAGCCGACTCCCGACGCCTGGTAGAGGTTAGGGCAGCCCTGCCATGTTTCGTTCAAAATCCAGCAACCGAAAAAGCTCTCTTTACTTAGCCTCTACCAGGCTTCGGGAGGCGGCTGGAAAGAGTAGAAATCGGCCAAATAGAGAGATAACATGTCAGGGGAGTTTGTCTGCTGGGAGAGAACATTTTGCCGCACCTGAACTAGTACTGTTCTCTCCAGCAGAAAAACTCCCCTGGCATGTTATCTCTCTCTTTGGCCAACTTCTACTCTTTCCAGCCGCCTCCCGAGGCCTGGTAGAGGCTACTCTTTCATCGGTCCCCGCTAGTGGTTGGTTTTGTCGCAGACTGCTTGAAAATTATAATATTTTATATCAAAACCGTTTAACGATGTACGGCGAATGCGACTCGGGTTTTCGAGTCACATCTAATATCAAAAACAATACAAAGCATTACAGAACATGACCGTAGCCAGGATTTTGTCTGCCCACTGTCTGAGGGATCAGCGAGCGCCGTAGACGCGAAGTTCCTCAGGGGGTCCGGGGGCATGCCTCCCCGGGAAAGTTTGAAAATAAAACCTTCTGAAATGGCATCTCCTGCGTTTTTTTAGAGGATTTTAAGGGAAAAGTCAGAGATAACCCCGCTGGTCCACTTTTAAAGAAAAATCTTGGGCCTTTACTTCAAAAGTGGACCTTTGATTCCTGTTCTTCCGAACTCCCCCTGGCTACGGGCATGAGAACATATAGGAATTATAAATACACTTACCAAAGAACTTGTCATGTTGTAAATATCACTCTGTCGTCGGCGCTTGATAAAATAGACTGGAAGACCGGGCGTTTTGGCGTTCACTGCTCAGCAAAGTCGTAGAAGACTATATATGAAAAGTACGTCTTGTGTAGATCTAGACCTCGCTCCTCCTTGGTGCGATTGAAGACGTCTTCGCTCCAGGACTGAGCTACACCGGGCCGGCCCCTCTCTTTTATACATCACCTAGTGGGCAGGTCGTGACTACTGCGGGGAATTCTCTCCGAAATGATTAATAATTGTTCCCGCCGGCAATGTTACAGTCTTAGACCATGACGACATTGCGTAATTTTTAGTTTGTTGGTGTTTTCTTCCTCCTCGTGACTAAGGGTGACATGGGGGAAGGGGGCGTGGCTATAGTCTCTACCAGACTAACTACGCTGGCTATGTATAGGATAATATTTGCCGGGGTAGTTTGGCCACCTTGTAGGTTTGACTGGGAAAGAAACTACCTCCCCGCGGCCGGACTCCCTTGGCCAATTTTATTCTCTTTTTTTACCGAAGTCTACGATCCGTATTCCCATAGAAAGGCATGGTAGAGGCTAGCGTGGCTGTGTGTATGTGTGTGTACCGGACAGGCAAAGATGGAGGGGGAGTTCCCTGTAGCTCCCACTTGTTAACGGTCACGGGATCCAGATTCCCGGTAAGTTAAGCGGAAGGAAGGAAAGAGACTGGGAATCACGTCCATTGAGGCTCTGGCCTGGCTCCAGGCCTGAGTAGTCGTAGTAGTAGGAAGTAAATGGTTTATTGATAAAAACACGATACAAGTCGGCCTTGCAGTATACACTGAATTGCGCCGAATTTTACATTCCACATACTCAGTAAAACTAACACCGTGGGCTAATATACACGTAATACATATACAAGAAACATTCAATTATTGACGACATATGGTTTTCCATACTATAAATATAGCGAGGTGGTTCGACATCATGGTAGTCCATGGTAGTTAGCGACAATACGGAGCCGGTGGTAACTCTGGAGTAGTGGAATAAAATAAAATAAACTCTGGAGGATGGCACCCAGGCTGCCGAAGGTCCACGACTCAAGAACTCGGCACATACGTACAGTGCCGATTCATAAATTCCGCAAAAGCCAGCATGTGCCGGCTTGTCGTATACGTCGCTATGTACTGCCGCAAATTCACAACACCAGCTTTGTATTCCTGTGGTTTAGTAGCATTTTAATTTTTGGCCGGATTTTTTTGTTATTATTCGCCCGCGCGCACTAGTTTGGGGGTCTTCAGAGGATGTCATCCATAAAATTAAGACGGTGTGGCCTTATACCGGCTATACAGATACAGAAGCTGGTGTGTTACGCCGAAGGGCGGTTACTAGTATACCGGCTATACAGATACAGATACAGATACCATATTGGGTAAAACCACCTCGTGCTTTCTCCCAGTGATGTGTAGTGAAACCAGTTCTGATAGTTAGTCAGTTTTGATGATAGTTTCTAAGCCTTTATTTTAGCCATTTGTTATGTGAAGATGTATTTTATATAGCTGCGTTTATAGTAGTTGTATAGTATGTGCATGTGTGTAATATGCTGAGAAATATGTAAGATATGTCAAGTGTTATTCATTTTTCGACAAATTGGAATCAATCTATGTTTACTTGAAGTTTGTTCTTTTTGTGACTCAATCATGATCATGATGGGCGTCGTTCAATGTTGACTGAGAAGTACGAAAGATATGAAAGAAATATGTAAGATAATAACAAAGAAATATGTAAGATAATAACAAAGAAATATGTAAGATAATAACAAAGAAATATGTAAGATAATAACAAAGAAATATGTAAGATAATAACAAAGAAACATGTAAGATAATAACAAAGAAATATGTAAGATATGTCGAGTGTTGATAAGTCGGCTATTTGAATCAAACGCAATGGTCAATGACCTTTTGATTCGCCTGCGTACAATGCTCGACTGTTGTTCTATGTCAACGTTGAGAGATATGTAAGGTATGTCAAGTGTTGAGAATGTTTGTTGTCCACAACATAGTCACGAAAACAGTACAGAGAACGTCTGTTTGTCCGCTGTATTGACGCACGTTAGTAGATGTTTCAGAGAAGGTGTTACGCGGTTCCCAGAGTTGACATTACTACTAATAGTACTTATTACGACCTTACGCTGAGAAATATGCAAGGTATGTCAAGTGTTAAGCTGTTAGTGATGCCAATCACGTAGTCGCCTGTTCGTCTGTTTGTTTGTGTGTGTTTTAACGGACGTCAGAAGTTTCACATGCAGAAGGTGTTGCCCGTTTCCGCATGGCTAGTTTGACATCAAATTTTATGTGACCACGCTCACGTGGAGCGACGAATATGTCTATACCGTAGTATAGAGTACTACTACAGACGTCCTACGTCCTACATGAGAGACAAAGAAAAACACAAAATGAGTGAAAAGAGCGGAAAAAGTGCGGGCAATAAAGGAAGCGGTTACTCCGGTCCTCGCCCCAAAAATGATCGAGTCATAAATAAAAAGAACAACCTTATTCATAATTTAATTCCGCTTTAAAGCGGAAAGAACAAGTGAATCTTGCCGTGAAAAATAGAAAAGAAACTCATTAAAAAAAACCTCCCAGTCATCCGGTTCCACAGCTTGAAAACTCCGATACTTTCACTTTTGCCAATTGAATCATTCTTGGGAAAATGCCAAGACAAGCTGCCAAGACACAGAGGCCAAGACCTTAGCCTCCTTTTCAGGCGTTCCCGGATCTGCTTGGAGATTAGCCAACCCTACATTATACATAGCCATCCCTGGTTGGAGGCCAGATAGAGCTTCTATTGCGTGCGATCTCCGTTTGATCAGAAAATGTCGCCCCAGAACGCCTGAAAAGGAGGCTACCAAGACCTATGGTGGGAAGGGAAAGTAGCATAGTGTTTCCGGCTACCAGACCACCGCTAGCAAAAACCACAGAACCTAGCCTTTGTTGGTGGTCGACCGCTAGTATTAAAGACCACAGAATTTTTATAAAGTTCAAACCCTCTGAAACGTTTAATATTTAA